ACTGCCTTCTATGGTTATATAGGTTCGTTCACACCAAGAACGATAACTATATGAAGAAGCCTTATGAAGAACATTTGACATCCTTTCCACAAAGGCTTCCTTAAAGTGACAAAAGGGTTCTTTAGATTATTAAAATGTTCTTCACACACACAAAAAAATGGTTTCAGAAATGTTCTTTGAGGAACCAAAAATGGTTCTTCTATGGCGCCAATGGTGTTTATGGAGACATTTCGAGTAGAATGCCGCCTTAGAAATGAGCTGCCTATGTAGACAGTGAGATGTGTGTTTGCAACAAAGCTCGTTGTCGAGCAGCAGGACACAGCGGGGCTGAAGCATGAGAGCTGAAAAGGTGTGCAGTTCTGTGTAAGTTCAAGACACCGAGTGCCATCGGGTCACAGCACAAACAGCTCACGTCGAGCTCGTGGGGCAGCTTTGCACACTCACGCAGAGCTCGTGATAAACCCACCAATCACAGGGCTGATCGCAAGCTCTGGGTTCAAGTGTGTGTCAAGGAGAGAATGCCCACAGTTCTCCACTGTCCACACTCTGACCATAATAACACACATGGAGGAGCTTCAGAGGACCAGATCAATGGATTCCATTGGAATCAATCCAAAATTCAATTTTGTTGCATTTGAATGTCATAAACTGCTTTGCAAATATGTCTTAATCATGAGAATGATCAGCTTTACAGGATTAGGAATCCAGAAATTGTTTTCACCTTTGTGCGTTTTTTTTTCTTCATAATACACAAAAGAAGGTGCTTTAAAGGGTTAGTTCACCCAAAAATGAAAAGTATGTCATTAATGACTCACCCTCATGTCGTCCCAAGCCCGTCAGACCTCCGTTCATCTTCGGGACACAGTTTAAGATATTTTAGATTTAGTCCGAGAGCTTTCTGTCCCTCCATTGAAAATGTATGTACGGTGTACTGTCCTTGTCCAGAAAGGAAATAAAGACATCATCAAAGTAGTCCATGTGACATCAGTGGGTTAGTTCGAATGTTTTGAAGCATCGAAAATACATTTTGGTCCAAAAATAACAAAAACTACGACTTTATTCAGCATTGTGTTGTCTTCCGGTTCTGTTGTGGATCCGCGTTCAGTGACGCCGCTGACGTGTATCTGGTGTGTCCGTGTATTCGGGTTCAAATAAATATGGCTGGGCAAAAAAATGCAAGTCTTCCTCTGTGTTGAAATCCTTAGACATGTGTGCGAAGATTGTTTTGTTTATAGCATGCGTCTCCCTCAGACTGTAAACAAAGCTCGGGCGCACCAGATACACGTCAGCAGCGTCTTACGTCAGCAGCGGCACTGAACGCGGATCCACAACAGAACCGGAAGACAATACAATGCTGAATAAAGTCGTAGTTTTTGCTATTTTTGGACAAAAATGTATTTTCGATGCTTCAAAACATTCTAACTAACCCACTGATGTCACATGGACTACTTTGATGATGTCTTTATTTCCTTTCTGGACAAGGACAGTACACCGTACATACATTTTCAATGGAGGGAGAGAAAGCTCTCGGACTAAATCTAAAATATCTTAAACTGTGTCCCGAAGATGAACGGAGGTCTTACGGGCTTGGAACGACATGATGGTGAGTCATTAATGACATCATTTTCATTTTTGGGTGAACTAACCATTTAAAGAAGGTTTATGAATAACTCAAATTTCAGTCTGCTAAAGCATCATCTGGTGTCAGAAGAGTTTGATTACAAGTTTGATAAAACCATCAAAATATGAGGAAAATATTTTATATTTTAAAAAATGTTAAATATGAGGGAAGTACAAAATCCTTAACTTGGTTTGGGTATTTAGCTGACCAAATTATTTATTTATTTTAAATTAAAAAAAGGCAAACTACAGCTGCAGGTCTTATTTTACTATGCAAAAAAATATCTATTGGAAAAATATACAATGTATATAACATAATCACTTATTGATATTCCTTTGGTTCTCTCTTGTTTTTTCATGCGTTCATAATTTCTACGTATGACAGCCTGGCCAAAAAATGATGTCTGCATAATTCTGCGTGTTTAATTGGTGTTATCGCAAATATAACAATTGAATGACAAGAACAACTATGCAATATGATCAAAACCTTTAACACATTTTTTATAATATTTGAATAAAGGGTGAAGATGTCAGTTTTCCTATAGGCCGGACATCACTTATAGTCACTACACGTGATTTTTTATCTGGTTTTGTTGTGTTTTGTTTTTGGACAAATGTGGTCAGTAATATTAACTGTTATTATATGAATGAAAATGATCTCCATGACAGTATTTTCATTAATTGGAATAAATCTTAATAAATGAAAATATAAATATTAGATAAAAAACTTAAATGAAAATGAGAAATTCTGCCTTGGGAACTAACTGAAATAAAACAGCTGAAGTACTAAAATGACTAAAACTGCAACTGAAATAAAAAATAAATTAAATAGAAATAAATTGAAATACTACAAAAAAATAATAAAAACGACACAAGCATGTAACAAAACTACTAAAACTTAAAGTAAAGTGACAACTGAAAAGATATTATGTATAATTATATACAATATATATTATTAATTATAATATATATATTTATATATAAAATATCTGATATAATATTAAAATATGAGGGTGAATAAATTATATATTTTTATTTTTGAAACAAGTTGCTTTAAAGAAGAAAATGATTTTGACGTCTATCAGCGCAGTATTTATTTATTTATTTTAACGACAGCCGATTCTTCAAATATACAAATAAGACAACATTCCCAGCATGCCTTGCTGCTCTGATCTTCTCCTGACAGCCCCTGTCACGGGCTAGTGTAATTAGAGAGGACAGGAACAAGTCACTCACACCCATCAACCATTAAAAATGGCTCTTCCAGTTGTCTTTTGGCCATTTGGCACTGACTGACAGACGAAGAGAAACCAGAGAGAGTGGAGATGTCTTACTGTTGGCTCTGAACCAGTGATGTCCTTCTCCATGCCTTGAAACTGTCAGTCATTCCAGACAAAAGATCTATATTGTTCTATACTGTCCAGACAAAATTACATATGACTCCTAGTTCACACTTCTGACAGGTGTTAATAATGCGCTGTGTGAATGAGTAAAGTGGGTAGTGTGTTGAGGTCAGGTTATGACTTGTGTTAAATGGCTCCTGGCTGTTTAATCAAGCATAAGAAGTTTGTATGATGTGCTGAGTGAGGAATGCCGTCTCTCTTCACAGACAGGCTGATTCAATGATCATTTGACACTGCATGCTTAACATGCTGAGATCAGTTTGGCTGTGAACTGACACTGTTTCAAACGGCAGAGTTGTTGAAAGTAGGCCTGAGAACTTCTGAGTGTAATTCCTACTGTTAAACAGAAGTCGCTCAGATGCTTTAATGGCCACGCTATGCTGCCCTCTTCTGGTGGGTGTAAGTAGTGCAGCAGAACTCCTGGCTGTCACGTGACTCTGAGGAAGGTAGACCTACTTTGCCTCCATCATGTGGTCATAGCCTACTACCACACTGGCACATTTTTGAAAATTAGTATTTCAGTATTCCATATTCACAGAAAATTGCATACTATGTATGTACAGTACACTATATCCACCTTTTTTTGCAACGCGGAAGTAGGCCTAAGTTGCTTCTTTTTTTAATGTGCGATACTTCCGATTCATAGTTAATAATAATAGATATAGAGAATAATACATAGTAATTTTATTGTTCATTGCTTCATTCAAGGGACGTATGCTAATGTGCAATGGCAAGCAGTGACAGACTAAGTATGTATATCTAAAATTAAGATTAATTCATTTTGCTTTAAACACTTGCCTTAATAAAGTGAGTAAAAGCAAAAAGTATAGGCCTATATGGCTTCTTATTCAATTTGTTCATTATACTTTTTTTTCTTAATTCCGATGTGTGAGGTTAAGAAAAACTGAGCAAATTTGACTTGTTGTTTATTGAGGGATATTACAACAACAACAAAAAAAAACATGAAAAGTGATAGGCCCTATTAAGGACTCTGTGAAAAACCAAGACTTCCAATATTCCCAGAAAAACATGTTTTGTATAAAAAAATATGGCATTTTTTAGTAAGCCTAACTCATTGGTTAGTATTTTTTAAATTTACCCATGTTGTTCACTTAATAGTGATCACGGATGACTAAGATTTTAAATCATGGTTTTACCTTTTAAATTGATCGTTTTAAGTTTTGAGTTTATTGCCTTCTATTATATTAAAGGGATAGTTCACCCAAAAATAACAAATCTGTCATAATTTCCTCACCCTCATGTTGGACCTGTTTGGAATATAGGCTACAGACTATAGTGAAGTTCACAACGTAATTTCGGGAGGAGTGAAGTGAACATCTAATCTTTCAATTAACTGCCGGAGCATATAAGCAGCCGCTCACCTTGCGCTGGCATCAGCTGTTTTGGCATCCCTCCACCTCCCCAAATTTAATTTAGGCATCTTGCTATCATACTCATCATCCAAGCATTGGTAGTCCCACTGGGGGGTATAGGCTATATCTAAGCTAAGCTGCTCCCTCGAGCCCCTCCACTGCGGACAGCATGGGCAAAGGAACTCGTGAAACAGAAGATATTTTGAGAAATGTTTTTGTCCTTACATGGTTTGGTTACTAACATTCTTCAAAATATATAATTGTGTGCTCTGTAGAAGAAAGTAAGTCATACCCCTACTGAGAATTTGGGTGAACTATCCCTTTAAGACACAATGGGGGACCATGAAATATACTGCAATGTAGAAATTGCCCTTTCTTATGGCACGAAATAAATAAATAACCCACAATGAAACGTTTAGCCATTGTTATAATTAAGGTTACATGATCAAAGCCCTTGTCCCGTGACCGTGTGTCCCCTGTAAGCCCGCAGCAGAGGGATGTTTTTCTTCACTCAGCAACTCAGCGCCGCAGCATCAATCCTACCCTGACTGACGTCACCCCCAAATTTCGCAGCTCCGACCACTCATTAATTTAGCCTTGTGATCAGAAATGGCGGAAAGATTACTCGATGTAGAGTTATTTTTGTCTCCCAAAGCTCATTAGGTGCGGAAGGGTGACTGAAAACACACCACGCGCCCCGTGTGTATCCGTCTCGCGCCTGTGAGCTCAGGTTACCGCGAACACCGCTCTGCGTCTCAGCGCGTCCCACAAAAACACCCACTTTTGTGTTCTGGGGAGGGAAAACAGACTCCATCGGACACTTCGAGGGACAGACTGCTTGAAAATGTTGACCCTGTTGTCGGCTATGTACTTGGTGGTGCGCACGGCTTCGGCGCAGGTAAGACGCCTCTCCTTGACAACGGAGGCGTAAGATGCACCATAAACGTACGTTTTTTCCTTTGAACACAAGCGGTATGCGTTAAAATATCATTAAGGATTTAACCTTACCGTGCATGCGTAAGCACAATTCGCCATATATCTGATAGTTATATTTAAAGCAATTGATTTCATGAGAGAAATTTCATATTCAAATGGTTGCAGTGTTTTGGAATGTGGATGATTTATAGATGGTCCAAATAGTCTTTACCTGACCCAATATTAGCTTGTCTAAGATGGTAATTTGCTGGACAAAGCAATTTAAGGTGATCATCAGGCTGGTAAACCAGTCAATTACCATGTTAGATCAAGTAAAAACCATTTAGGAGCAGCTAATGACCAGCTTGAACCTGCTAGAAACACTGTTTTAAAAACACAGTTAAGCTGAATTTTCCACAGGGATTGGTTGATACTGGCAATAGTCTCATTCATCATGCACACCTTGAAATCTTATACGGCAGTGGGGCATGATGATTAATTTAGGATGCTTTTGGCAAGCAGAGTCCAGCACCATGGATAGCACACTCGCTCCGTCTGGATCTCCACCTTTCCAACGGCGTGTTATGTAATGTTAACTTGGCTGAAGTGCCTTTGTCCCAAACAGGAGCAAATATCTGCATCAGTGTGTGGCTGATCTGTAGCGGTGTACTGTGTTTTAAACACACACCCATGCTGGTCACACCAGTGAAATGCAGAGGCAGACTATGATAGTAAAATGCATTATTTAGCCTGAAGGAGAAGCCAAGCCCATTAGAGGCTTTTAAAACTTACATTGGTTAACCCAGGGTCATTATATAATCCTGAGGTATGGTGTATGCATGTTATCTTGTTAACACACCTTGACTTTTTGTGACAACATACTGTAAAGGTGGGGATGACACATTTAATAATGTATGACATTTAAGATCACATTGGGAACCAACCATTAAATAGTTAATTATAGTTTTTTTTTAGCTAAATTTAATTAATTAAAAGTTAAAAGCAAAAAAATAAAAAGCAGTATATATATACAGTATATATACTGTATATATCAATTGGGTTTAACCCAACTGCTCGTTAACACTTAATTTCTAAGCAGCCAATCACATGGCGGCAACTCAGTGCATTTAGGCATGTAGACATGGTCAAGACAATCTCCTGCAGTTCAAACCGAGCATCAGTATGGGGAAGAAAGTTGATTTGAGTGACTTTGAACGTGGCATGATTGTTGGTGCCAGAAGGGCTGGTCTGAGTATTTCAGAAACTGCTAATCTACTGGGATTTTCACGCACAACCATCTCTAGGGTTTACAGAGAATGGTCCGAAAAAGAAAAAACATCCAGTGAGCGGCAGTTCTGTGGGCGGAAATGCCTTGTTGATGCCAGAGGTCAGAGGAGAATGGCCAGACTGGTTCGAGCTGATAGAAGGGCAACAGTGACTGAAATAACCACTCGTTACAACCGAGGTATGCAGCAAAGCATTTGTGAAGCCACAACACGCACAACCTTGAGGCGGATGGGCTACAACAGCAGAAGACCCCACCGGGTACCACTCATCTCCACTACAAATAGGAAAAAGAGGCTACAATTTGCAAGAGCTCACCAAAATTGAACAGTTGAAGACTGGAAAAATGTTGCCTGGTCTGATGAGTCTCGATTTCTGTTGAGACATTCAGATGTTAGAGTCAGAATTTGGCGTAAACAGAATGAGAACATGGAACCATCATGCCTTGTTACCACTGTGCAGGCTGGTGGTGGTGGTGTAATGGTGTGGGGGATGTTTTCCTGGCACACTTTAGGCCCCTTAGTGCCAATTGGGCATCGTTTAAATGCCACGGCCTACCTGAGCATTGTTTCTGACCATGTCCATCCCTTTATGGCCACCATGTACCCATCCTCTGATGGCTACTTCCACCATGTCACAAAGCTCTAATCATTTCAAATTGGTTTCTTGAACATGACAATGAGTTCACTGTACTAAAATGGCCTCCACAGTCACCAGATCTCAACCCAATAGAGCATCTTTGGGATGTGGTGGAACGGGAGATTCGCATCATGGATGTGCAGCCGACAAATCTGCGGCAACTGTGTGATGCCATCATGTCAATATGGACCAAACTCCCTGAGGAATGCTTCCAGCACCTTGTTGAATCTATGCCATGAAGAATTGAGGCAGTTCTGAAGGCAAAAGGGGGTCCAACCCGTTACTAGCATGGGGTACCTAATAAAGTGGCCGGTGAGTGTATATATATATAATTGTATGCCCTTAACACCTCAAAATGTGCAATTTGGTGCAGTTGTTATTTCTTTGGCCAAAAAGTCAGATTAAATTCTAACAGCTTTAAATGTAAATCAATGAGATTTTTATTACAGCAATACAGACATACTTACATAAAATGCATAAATATCAGTTGTCACTCTATATCTGTAAATAATAAAGAAACATAATGCAATGCAATACAATTTATGATTGAGAGATGGACAAATAAACATTCCTCAAAAGCCTGTTGTATCATATTTGATATTTTTAACATGATTTTTCTTTAAAAAATTATAATAAAGTAAACAAGTAAACCTACGTTGCTTCAGTTCAGTAAGTGTTTAAATATTAATAACAATTATTCTTACGTTTACTTTAAAAAGTATAAAATATCAATCAGGCGACAGAAGGCATGTTGTAGATTGTGCACAACAGGTGTTTCAGCAAAGTTTTGATCATGTTGATATTTGATACAGTAGGCTTTAGGGTTAAAAACACTAAAAGCACACCACAGAAGTGAAAGCACATGGCTATTTGACCTTACTGGTCTCTTTAGGAAATGCACATGGTCTTAAACCATACATGTTTCCTGTTCAGCCAGAAAAGACAAGAATTAAGGACAGCGGAGCTCATGAATTTATATTTGAAAGTGAAATCAAGTCTTTAGAACATGATAACAGTTTGGCATCACATACTAGAGGTCATGTGAGATTCTGATGTGCAAATGTTGCTGTCAGAAATGTGGCAGTTGTGACGGAAGGGGAACTTGTTTTAGATTCTTCACACGATCTCCCAGAGACCACAAGCATGATTTCATTCTGACTGAACTGACATTAAGCTCGATTATTAGTTATATATTTCAATGGGGTCCAAAGTAAGAGTCCATCGTGAAAGTGCTTCTATTTTGAAACTTATTATAATAATTCTCAAATTATATTATAAGCATAACAATATAAGAGAACATTTGCATAGAAAATTATTGCTAAATTGGATTTGACCTCTGATGACCTCTAATGGTGATCATGTTATCCTGTTTGTGAATGATCCCAAAAGCTTTTTGAGCTTCAGTGGAAATTGCGCTCTAAGAGGCCACAGGAATCTGTAGGGGGCTCTTACTAGTCGACATATGCTGTTCTGTTAAAGGTATAGGCAGTTTTAGGAGAGGTTAGCAATATAGCGAGTTAGCTTTGAAAGCATGAGATCCCACCCTCCCTTCAGAGCGCCTCCAAAGCCCCGCCTCCTTCAAAACACATGAACGCGCCACGAGAGACGGCGTAAAACTACCTTGTGTCTCTAAGCAAATAACATTATAATAATAATGAACATAAACACTTAAAGAGCGCTGACCTGTACCACCTGACTGCTGCAGTTTCATTTTAGCATTGATAGTGTTGCCATTGAATTAATAAATTCGAGTCACGACCCGCTCCGAGTGTAACATCACGGGTTTCTATCTCTTCCAAATTACAGTAGTGACTGTAAAAGGCGGCTGTTGTTTCGGTTGCAGCTCTCAATGACTGATGTCTGTCTAATTCTGCATGAAATGCACTGATGACGTGTGATATAATGAGGTGTGGAAATGCATACGCTGACAGGCAGGTATGACATCTTATCATTGCATTCAGCCCAAATTCAATTATTGGACGAACATTTTAGGGTCCTACGCTTCCACAGACGATATATATAATATATAAATATAAATACATTTAGACCACTTAACGTAGTTACAATCAGGATGTAATAAGACTTTTAAACCAGCATAACAAAAAACATTTCTGGAACAAATCGCCTACCCTGCCTTTAATGTCATCTGAAGGTGACAACATGAAGCTATTGTGTCAACATTTGAGCAGGATATGTTGTTATTAAAGAGTTAGGAAAAATAGTTAGAAACACACACACACTGTCTTTAATGACCTCTTAATGTCTATTGTAAAGGACATAAGGATACACACAGGCCTACACGACTATTTTTTGTCTTCAGTGTCCTCTTTATCACTCTGTAAAAGATGCTTATTCTGTTTGACTGCTCATTCAAATAACATAACTTTAACTAATCTGTTTTCAGTTGGCTATTATAGACAATTTGTTGTTCAAGGACCCGAACCTTACACCATAACTCAGAGGGACTTTCAAAACTCGACCTTTATATGGTTTCCAAGGCGTTTGCTCCATATATGGTAGTGCAGGGGGCGTGTAGGATGTGAGGGCTTCAGCGCGGGTTCTTATGGGTAAATTAGTTCCTTTTGGAAACTGGTTGGTGTGGGAGAACAGCAATATAAACTACATATCCCAGTGTACAGCGTTTCTGTGCCTGTGAAAGCACATGACATATTTCCATACAAGAATAGAGGTGACCCTCCGTTCAGTCCGAGGTAGAGCAGCAGCAGCACATCTTTGTCGCACATCTCAACCTGCACAATCAGACCCGAAACATGGTGAGATTCTCATCCCTCCATTTTAGTCCTGCACGATATTTTAGCATAATCAAATCAAGTTCGCAATTGTTTTTTTGTATAGCATGGTGGGCTTGTTTGATCTTCCAACGTTTTTTGGGTGTTGTTAAATTTTTGATATCTGGATTAATGTGAACTCTCACTCTGTGATCAGGTAACGATTTATTTTGAAGCAGTTTAATAAACGTTTAACTGCCATTTCCGCGTTTGGGGAGTGTGTGTAAGTGAGGTGCCATCTTTTGTACACATTGGCGCTATTTTGTCAGATTGTATTTGTAAATACTTCGAAGTGGAAATTTTCGTCGAAGTTACTGTCTCGCGCACATAGTGACGTTACCATGGTCGCGCGGAGCATCCGTTGCATCACTGTTTCATTCATTCATTCATTCATTGAGGAGGATATAAATAAAAATGAATAAATTCCCATTCGCTGAAACAATTATGTGTTAATAAATACTCGAATCTGCCACTTCTGGTATAATCCAGATCGTTAGGCCTTTGTTCCAATAAATAGGTCATGCTGTTGACGCCAGTGACCGTGTGTTTTGTTGCAGGCCGAGCCGATCCGAGTCCTGGTGACTGGCGCAGCGGGGCAGATCGCATATTCTCTGCTGTACAGCATTGCTAAAGGAGATGTGTTCGGCAAGGACCAGGTGAGACTGGGTTATTGCATAACACGACACTGGGGGGAAACTGCAAGTGGAGCAAACTGGATTTTAAACCATGCTCTTGTGTTATATAATGTGTGATTAAAATATGCGACTCTTTTGATCCCTCAGAATAAGCCACTGGTTATTTATGCAGTACGTAATACATGTAGTGTGCATGGAACACTTGAAAGCCGATGTTTAGTCATTTTGAGATTATTGTTTTGAACCGATTATTACAATACAGACAGATACATGTTTATGATTCTGATAATACAATACAAATGATGCAAGGATTTATAGCCTAATCATATAGATAGCCTATAACAATAAAATATTCTTATTGAATATTTGAATGATGACAGCAAAATACAACGATAATGTTACTAGATATTTTGAGATATAAATATGGAAGCTCGTTTCTGCCACGGAATAAAAAATACAAAAGGTAATTGACAAATTAGATACAAACTCGCAATTCTGAAAAATAAACTTGCAATTTGCACGAATTTTGTAATTCCTTTGGCAGAAACAAGCTTCCATATTGATATCTCAAAACCTCTAGTAATTCTGCTTGCAATTCTGACCTTTTTCCCCCTCAAAACTGTGAGATATAAACTTGCAATTGCGAGTTTCAATTCTGAAAAAAGGTCCGCTCTCAATTCGTACAATTGTAAGTTTATATCTTGCAATTCAGGGAAAAAGTCAGAATTGTGAGATGAAAAAGTCGCAATTACCTTTTTTATTTTTTATTTGGGGGCGAAAACAAGCTTCCATATATACATTTATTTTTAAATACATTTATTTATGGCATTGTTAGGTGCTGTTGTTTAGAGAGCCACCAAATGGCATTTTGAGTCTTGAGCAAATAGTGTGTAAATGTTTGGTCATGTTCATTAAAAGTGTGTAATTTTAACATATATATATATATATATATATATATATATATATATATATATATATATATATATATATATATATATATATATATATATATATATACACACACATCTCAATAGCTTAGCCTATATCACATATGTATTGTTTTATATTGGCATTATATCAACTTCAGTCATATCGTTCCATCACTGCTTCCTGCTTCGCTTGTCAAAATGTGCACTAATTTTAAACCTGAAATTCAAAAAAGACATGAACGAAGTGTATTACTGAATGTGTATAATTGTATGTCCGCTGTCTAAAGCTGCACATATTCTATTCCGAACATGTTTTCTGTCTGTGGCTGATGCAGTGTAACATGCATGTTGTTTCTCTTTGCCTCCTCTGTCAGCCAATCATCTTGGTGCTTCTGGATATCACTCCCATGCTGCCCGTGCTGGATGGGGTCGTCATGGAGCTGCAGGATTGTGCTCTTCCTCTTCTGAGGGGTGAGGGGTTGCTTCTCTTGGTTTTATCAAACCTCATCACAGTGGCACAGTTTTCATCGGACTCCTAAGGGACACTTAGAGACACTGTACAGCAACTTGGTTTATTTATAGCCAACATCTGGAATGTATTAAAATGCAGAAGAGCAAGCGTGACTCTGCAGAATGGATCTGCAGCAGTAGCACAAAAAAACCCAGCATGTGGTACGCAGTGTTTGAAGAGCAGGGAGGTGTAACCAGCACCGACTGAGCTTATTGGCTCGCACTGTGGGATAGTCTCTGACCAATGGGAAACGGGATGGTGCCGCAACAATGTGAGGCGGAGAGGAGGAGGCCAAAGAACAACCTGTATCACAGAAGTTGTGCTTTGGTTGAAGTCCATTCTGATAAATAGATCTTTACTAACTGTCATTCTGAAGATTATCACTGAAATATGAGCCAATTCAGGAAATATCAAAAGCCTCATAAACCATTTATGGTGATGTGATATGAAAGTGTCAGGAGATAATGTCAGCACATGCTCCTGTTAAATAATAGTCTTGGTACAAACATAATGAGGCTGCATTTCCCAATACTGATGCTAAAATGTTTGCATGCGAGTTTATCTTTCAGTCACATGCATTTCTCCCATGCTTGATCAACTAAAATATTCTGTAACTTATTACAATAAACAATAAGAATATATATTTTTCTCCTGGTCCAGTCAGGCTTAGTTCAACAAGAAATTATTTATTAAATTTTTTTTTTAATAAAAGCTTTTTTTAGCTATGAAAAAATAATGTATCCATGTCATTTTAATTTGCAATTGCTGGGAAAAAAAAAAATCAGTAATGACCTTCCCATGGAAATTTGTTGACCTAAATGTTACTCTGATACTATTTCTGTGTCCTTCTGTTTCTCTGTCTTCCCCCTTCACAGATGTGATTCCTACTGATAAGGTTGAGGTGGGCTTCAAAGATCTTGACGCTGCCATCTTGGTGGGGTCTATGCCAAGAAAAGAGGGCATGGAGAGGAAGGACCTACTAAAAGCCAACGTGGCCATTTTTAAAACCCAAGGTGAAGCACTGGAGAAGTACGCCAAGAAGACAGTCAAGGTAAAAGTCTGCAACAAATAATGCAGCTTGAGTGGGTTTTTGTGCTCTCTTTTCTAGCCATTTAATTTTAGACAACAATGTCCCTAATCAGTCACTTGTCAGTATTTGATGTATGCTGTTATGGCGTTCAATTGTTCTTTTCTTTCCATAGGTGCTTGTTGTCGGGAACCCAGCCAACACCAACTGTTTGATCGCCTCCAAATCTGCTCCCTCCATTCCTAAGGAGAACTTCTCCTGCCTGACCCGTCTGGACCACAACAGGGCCCGCTCTCAGGTCCGAACCCCGCTGCCTCATTCACCTTCAGTTGTTATTCTGCTTTATTGAAGTTCTCTAAGTCTTTGTGCTTTCCAGAGCTGCAGGTAACTGAGCTTTTTTTATTGTCAAACTCAATGGCAGTGTCCCACATATAGCTTGGTTCTAGAGTAGCCATTTTTTGGTATGTACTCTAAAATAGTTCATAGACCATCAGAGTGACTTCGGTGTTGATGTTGTGTGATCATCATGTGCCATTTTAGAGGAACTTTTAGCCCTCCCTGCAGATAAGCACATATCACACATACAGGCCTCTTGCTCATCTGCAGTTGTCCTCCATGCCTGTAGGTGGCGATGCGTGTTGGTGTGTCATCTGACAGTGTGAAGAATGTGATTATCTGGGGAAATCACTCCTCAACTCAGTACCCAGATGTGCACCATGCTACTGTGAACCACAATGGGAAGGAGATGGCAGCCTTTGACGCTGTGAATGACGAAAGCTGGCTGAAGGGCGACTTCATCTCCGTAAGTCCAACATCTGAACCACTTTTGTAAGATCATCAGGTCTTTAATTAACTAGGAGGAAAATCTGAAAAGCCATAACTTGCTGTCTGTGTAATTTAACTTTTTCTAGTATAAATAAGTGATCACAAAAGAACGAAGACATGTCACATTTGTAAATGGTGAAAAAATGTTTGCCTTTGTCGGGACTTATGTTTATTATAAAATGGATAGTTATACCATTTTATAACCAACTAGAGATATTAATAATAATTATAACTATTATTTTATAGCGTTATTGACATATAATAACAAAATATAGGCCAAATTTTGCAGCCCTACTAACAAGCACAGCAAACCTGAATTTTTGTTTGTAGAAAAATCACAATAGGATTTTATCCCCAAATCATGCAGCCCTAGATTAGACGAGCCACATTAAAGTTACTATTATTGTTATTAACAATTTAAATATTTTTTGTTCAGTGGGGTTTTAATCACCCTGCAACAAAGATTTGAGGCAAAGTCACTATTAAAGAGGCATTATATTTATCGTTGTTCGGTGGATTTTCACAGGTGATGATTCAATAGAAATCCACACAATTCTGCTTGACTTCTGTGTGAGCTCTGCTTCATACATCGCTGCACTATTGACAATAGACATGTGCTTTAATGTGACCGCACCTTTATACATGACCTCTTGTATCTTATTGCTTTAATTTACCCATCTGTAAGTCTTTTGATTTCTATATGGCAGACGGTGCAGCTGAGAGGTGCAGCTGTTATCAAGGCCAGGAAGCTCTCCAGCGCAATGTCTGCTGCCAAAGCCATCTGTGACCACATGAGGGACATCTGGTTCGGCACTCCTGATGTGAGTTTGCACCTCTGTGGACCCTTTACAGAAGAAAATGGAGTAAACATTTCCGGTTTGTTTTTCCTAAATATTTCCAGTTTATTAATGCTAAATCATTCTGTCTCTGAGCAGGGCGAATGGGTGTCTATGGGCGTCTACTCCTCTGGTAATTCCTATGGAGTTGATGATGACCTCATGTACTCCTTCCCTGTTAAGATCAAGGTTTGTCTTCATCACTGAAAGTTTAAAAAAATTAAAAAATGCCCCTGTTCTACTTTGTTTACATCCCGCCTTTCAGTTCATTTCATTGGTTAAGGTTACAGTGACGGGTAGGTTTAGGGATCAGTGTTTGGTGTAGGGCAGGCAATCAGTACAGCGATTGACATGACCAATGAAATCTTTAGAAACGGCTGCAGGGCGGGATTTCGGCTGAACTGAAAAAAAAATCAGACTGAACCATCTGACCAATCAGAGCAGAGTAGACCAATCACAACAGAATGAACCATCTGACCAATCAGAGTAGACCAATCGCAACAGACTGAACCATCTGACCAATCAGAGCAGAGTAGACCAATCACAACAGAATGAACCATCTGACCAATCAGAGCAGACCAATCACAACAGACTGAACCATCTGACCAATCAGAGCAGAGTAGACCAATCGCAACAGACTGAGCCATCTGACCAATCAGAGCAGAGTAGACCAATCACAACAGAATGAACCATCTGACCAATCAGAGCAGACCAATCACAACAGAATGAACCATCTGACCAATCAGAGCAGAGTAGACCAATCACAACAGAATGAACCATCTGACCAATCAGAGCAGAGCAGAGTAGACCAATCACAACAGACTGAACCATCAGAACAATCGCAACAGACTGAACCATCTGACCAATCAGAGTAGACCAATCGAGACAGACTGAACCATCTGACCATTCAGAGCAGAGTAGACCAATCACAATAGACTGAACCATCTGACCAATCAGAGCACAGTAGACCAATCACAACAGACTGAACCATCTGACCATTCAGAGCAGAGTAGACCAATCACAATAGACTGAACCATCTGACCAATCAGAGCAGAGTAGATTCTCAGAAAGGAGGGGTTTAGAGACCGAATCCTTTATCAAACCGTTTCAGATACTTTGAGAAAAGAGATGATTCTGCAATGTATGTAATGAGAGAATTAAAGTGTTTTTTGCACTTGGATACATGTGAACCTATTGTAGGAGACCAAAACAAAATTAGGAACTTAAGAAATGGCATAATAGTGGCACTTTAAAAAATGAATAAATGAAATCAAAGCATTAAGGAGTTTAAAAATATAAGATTTATAAGTTATATGTGAGTACTGCTCATTTTCATGTGTTTCTGAATGTCGCCCACAACAGAACAAGACCTGGAAGGTGGTTGACGGACTCGCCATCAACGATTTCTCCCGCGGTAAGATGGACGCCACCACCACTGAGCTGGTCGATGAGAGAGACACGGCACTCACCTTCCTTGGAGCGTGACTCAAGACAACACAACAGCCGTTAGACCTTTCCAAGTCCCTAAATCCCCGACTGTAACGTCCTGTAGATGTCACAGCTGACCGTGTGTGTGTGTGGATATTCATGTATCTTAACATGTGCGTGCGTGCGTGCGTGTGTGTTGCTTCACCAGAAACGTTTGCAATGTAACTTACTCCGCTTGAAGTGTCCGGGGCAACACCTGAAGGAAAACCTTTTTCAATTAGAACTGTTACGCACATGGTTGTCCTGACCAAAATAATGATCATCTGTCATGCAACAATAAAATGCCATGTGGAAAATAAATGTCAGATTTGTTTGGATTGTTGTTTTAATGCAAGATCATGTCCATCTCATCTCTAGCTATGAACACACAAGTTCAAAATATGAATATATATATATATATATGTATATAAAAAAGCTACTTGAATATTTAGCTCAAAATTGTGTAAATATATTTCCATAATTGGCTTCAGGATAAGCTTGGCGCTTCAGTCTCTGTTTCCTTGTAGAAAGAAGGACTGGGAAATAATTTAAATGTATTGGTCAGAAAGAATGGTTAACCTATTTCCACCACAAGAAAAACTAATGATTTGGTAAATCCCAATTGACATAAAAGTTCAAGATTATGGCATGTCATATTTGTGAGATGAAAATAAGGACATACAAAGTCATAAATATGAGATAAGAAATCAGCTATGACAGTTTAAATTATGATTAAGTCAAGTGAGAGAATTTTGAATTTTTGTCACATAAAAGGTTGCAATAATGCCATTAATTCAATATCAAGATATAAGAAATTTCGACACTTTTTTGTTGTTGTCAATTTAGACTTGTGTCAAAATTATAACTGTCAATTTCGACTTTCATAAATATGTCTTACTTGGTCATCTCATTTTATGTCATAATTGTGATAAATTATGATTTAGAAAAGCATGATTTTTTTTTTCTTATAAAACTCTTATATAAAATTAAAGCACCGATAAAATAAAAGTGTACTGTGTGTTTGTTTACAACCATAACCAAGAGATGACGCTGTTTCACATGCTTACGATCTCTCCAACGCTATCAACAAATAAACCCAAATAGCTGTTATTTGATTGGTCGAGCCAGGTCGCCCCCTGCTCTGATTGGTCCGTGAACAAACATCATTCCCACACACCGATTTCTTGTGACACTTCCGCCCTTGAAGCAGCGTGTTGTGCACTGGACGTGAGTATCCTCGCATGGCTTGTAAAAAAATTAGCAAAGCAAGCCTGTCTGCTGTCTAGATGTGCTTGAGTATTATAGTTCCCCAACCCCTCCAAACCACTATCTGTGTGGGCAGTGCCTGTGTTTGCTTGCAAGGGGCCATTGAGCTTGGAGTTCTTGAAGGGCAAAGTTCATGACAGATAACTGGAAAAGGAGGTTATTTGTGACTTTTGTTGTGTTTGGACAGACAGAAGCAGTTATTTAGGTCTGTATTAGCAGAAAAAGCTTACTCCCCCTCATGCCATTGCTGTGTGCTGTATTAGTAAAACTCACAGTCAGTCAACTGTAATTGTTCAGTTGACCTTTAAAGGGGGCTTTCAAACAGTTATTGCGTTCAAAAAGAGAAGAATCACGAAGTGCTAAAACAACCTTAAAATTACTAAAGTGGCATGCTTATGGAAGTTTCCTATGGGATGCCAAAACCTCCCAAATAAGAAATAAGTATACAAATAAATTTAAGAAGAGCATAAATAAATAAATGTAAAAACAAACAAAAATAAATGTGTATTTATACTTTTATTTCCGTATTTATGTATCGTATTTTTTCCCATACTTATTCTTTCATTTATACATTTATTCCCACATTTATTTATATATCTGTTTATGTCTACATTTATTTATTTCCACCTTTATTTATTTATACATTTCTTTGTCCATATGGTAATGAGGGGGCGTGTTTTACCTCAGACATAGCAATCGAGCTCAGAGTGGCAACGGTGAAGCTTTGAGGCCACACTGACACCTTGTGGTGTGACTAAACAAATTGCAAAAGGTCTGCGGACATGCCTTTGCAAGTCACACAGGGAATGAATGACTTAAAGATGGGCAATATAGCCACATTCCCATATCACGGTTTAAGTCATTTAATATCACCATAACTGTATGTATATATGTTGACCATACTCTTTATCCATGGCTGTAAATATCATACATTTCTAAAATGTCTTGGTACACATGTACAGAAAACTGGATCTTCACATGATCTGATAACAGACACGGAAGTGTGTGCAGTAAGACAGTAGAAAAGCCAATATTCAGTTAACTTATTAAAAAAGCATACTATGCACAATCAAGCAGAAGAGCCCAGAACCTCAATTGCATGTTAAGACGTTTTCCTAACATATAAAATCATAGAAAATGCTAAACGTGGTTAAGACGGTGATATTGAAGTGCCAAATTTAGTATACAGATTGTTAATAAGATGTAGGCCTATGTACAGGAAAGCAGATGCATTACATTTAGTGATTTCTTTATAATGGTTTTCGATGGGAGGAAAATGCTTAACGTGCAATTAAGCTCATTGCTTTCATATTCTAAGTTATTCTGCTCATCTGTATGCTTTATTAATAATGCGTGTGCTTGATTTGGTCATCCAATATCACTGTCTTAGTACATTAAGCCGTTAATAGGCTTTATGCACAGCTTCACTACTTCCTGAACTTCAGCCAGCCCTTTGTTTCCTGTCTGTCATTATTGGACAAACTGATTAATCCAGGTGTGCCTGATTATTGTTACTGAGGCCAGGCACACCTGGATTAATCAGTTTGTCCAATAATGACAGACAGGAAACAAAGGGCTGGCTGAAGTTCAGGAAGTAGTAAAGTTGTGGCATAAAGCCAATTGTTTTAGTAATCAATGAGTAATCAATGCGAGTATCATATTGTGTTGTTTTAGATCATATAAAGCCAACTGCAGTTTTATTGGTTGTGAATAAAGTAATATCTGATTTGTCATTGACAAGCAGCAGCGTTTTATCTTGCGCTGTAAGAGACAAGAATAGTGAGTTTGCGGTTGCACCTATGGGTTGCACTTAACACTCTGAGCTCGATTGCTATGTCTGCGGTAAACCACGCCCCCCTCATTACCATATGGACAAAGAAATGTATAAATAAATGTGAAAATAAATAAAGGTACACATAAATACATTAAGTATATAAATAAATAAATGTGTAAATAAATAAATGTATAAATGAAAAATATAAATGTGGGGAAAAATACAATTATACATAAAAAAGGAAATACAAGTATAAATACACATTTATTTTTTAGAAATATATTTGTATATTTATTTATTTATTTATTTTTTTGTTTTGTTTTTTACATTTCTTTGTTGCTATATATATAAATATATAAATAAATATATATATATATATGTATTTATTTATTTATTATTTCGGCAGGTTTGGCATTACTTCGTTTCCACCACGGAATAAAAAATAAAAAAGGTAATTGCAACTTCTTCTTTTTTTTTTTGAAAACTAAAAAAAAACTACAATAAGCTAGTATCTCGATACTAAAATAACAGTTTCACTAAACAGTTTTGATTGTGAACAAGAATTCTCATTAGCAACCAGGACAGAATGGAGGCGGAAGTATCACTGACAGACACAAACACAATTAAAATGTCACAAATTGAATAAAGAAGAATGATTTTGTTTGGGTAAACTCTGTGTGTGTTTTTTAACGAAACGGATTCACTTTATAACAAATCATTTTACCAACAAAAAATGGGAGTGAACGAACGTATTAGTGAACGAATTCATAAGATTCCAGTCACTGGGATCGGATGAATCAAAATCCCTCCAGTCAGATTCGAGAACGCGTTCTATTCGAACGTCCAGCGCTCAGAGACAGAACGCACCCGGCGTCTCAGGTGTCAACAGCGTCCGGGTCTTGCTGCACGTGACAAAGCGATGGTGAACTTGGTGACGCGATTAATAATTCAACTGACACATTAAATACTGTACCTGTAAGAGTTGTTCACTGTTTCTGGACTTATTTACTTTTCCCCGAGTCCGTGACGTGACGTGACGTGACGTGTCGTGACGTGACGGCTGGGCACTGGGCAGTGCTGGAGTTTATTAAAAGAATCGTGCGCTATTCTCTCTCTCTCTCTATCTCTCTCTCTTTGCGCATCTCCTTCAGCGGTTCGGTCTTTGCAGCAGTGCGTTACAAAGCCCTGATCGGGTGTCCTGAGCATGACAGTCGGTGAATGTGTCTGAAATCTCATCTGATCAGGCTGTACAGAGGTTTCGCTTCGAGTTCGGATGCTGCACTGTTTTGAACACTTTGTAGCTTTTCTGAGGTTCTCACAGCATCTTGTTACTGCTACATTGAGGCTGTTGTAGTTTTATGTAGTGTAATAGAAGGAACCGTACAACAGTTGATGATTTGGACCTTTCTAGACTGGTGAAATCCATTCAGGATTTATACTGTTTTTTTTTTTTAATCTGGGAGTTGTCAGAAGTTCTTGAACATGTCTTTTGTTGCTGGTAAGTTTTTTCTTCATAGCCTGCTGTGGTGGTACAATGATGTTAGATGATAATAATGTTACTCTGATATGTGCACTATTTACATGATACTCATGGTACTTCAGAGAACCGAAAACCATGGTAGGACAAAATATTCCTAAGAATGATAATTATCATCAGGTTTTAATGTTGGAAGTAATGTTTTCTGTTGCTTGTGTTTGCTTGTCAGATCTGTATAGAAGCAGCTCTAATGCAGGTATGGCGGAGTTTCAGGAGAAGCTGAGATTGCAGCATGAGAACTCCATGCACACAGAGCTGGAGAAGCTCCTGACCACCGCCAAGACACCGGAGGCCGAGGTGAGACCCTTGTCCTGCAAACTGTGTGCTAGTTTGAGGTGACAAACACGTCCCAGTGGTTCTTCTGTCCTTGACTTCATATGATATTTCTAACGCCCAACTCACACATGTATCATCACACACATTCGTTTACCTATCAGAAAGGAAACATGCTATAGACTAAGGGTCAGCAACCAAGCTTGTTTCTGCCACTGAATAAAAAATAAAAAAGGTAATTGCAACTTTTTATCTCACAGACTTTTTTTCTTGCAATTGCGAGAATTATCTCAGAATTGCGTGATATAAACTTGCAATTGCGAGTTATAAATTCCGAATTGCGAGTTGTAAAAATGCAACTGCGAGTTATAAATTAATTCAGAATTGCGCGTTATAAAAATGCAATTGCGAGTTATAAATTCAGAATTGTGAGATATAAAATCACAATTGCGAGTTTTAAATTTCAAACTGCGTGATATAAACTTGCAATTGCGAGTTATAAAGTTACAATTCTGAGAAAAGTGAGTCTTTTTTCCACTCAGAATTGGACTTTATACTGTCGTAACCCCCGGTTCTCTGAAACATCGAGTGGAGGTATCCGGCTATGGGAAGGGCATCGGTACCTGACCTCTGCAGAAGCATCCAATTGCACCAGCCAAGGCCCCTTATCGGAGAGCATATAAGGCCTGCATGCGCTGCTGTTCTCCAGTAAGTATATTCCCTTCTCGTGCGGCAAACGGGGCAAAGCTGGTGGATCTCTGCACTCAATGCTTTAGAGAACCGGGATCACGACAGTAACCTATTGTTCTCTTTCATCATCTCATGTTCGAGATCCACCTATGGGAGAGGCATGGAAAGCTCCCTGTTTACCCAATACACTCACAGTGAGGTTCTGTAAGCCGGAGAAGGACGGTCGCCCCAAGGAGGCGGTGCCTGACATGTCCCATAATCATGCACCTCGCATCCCTGACGCACACACATAACTGCTGTGCAGGACATGCTGTGCAGGACATGAAATATGTATGAGGCACACACATGAAAACAAACGCCGCCCGCAACATATATATACACACACCCAGGCAAGAATGTAAATGCATGCTTGGTGATATGAATGTGCGTAGCCCGACGGCCCATTCACCCTTTGTTCCTTTACTCCAATGTGTAATTGGAAAGGAAAAAGGGTCACTCCCTTAGATTCATATGCCAATCCTAAAGCTTCCACAAGCCAATGTGAGAGGTGTCGCTTAGATATGGGACTCCCCCTGTGAGGGGGTGCCCATGAAATAAAGAGCTGGTTGCTCTTCCGGAAAGCACTAGTCCTGGTCATATATGACCGTAAGGCACGGACAGGACACAGCATTGAGCCTTTGATCCTCTGTGGAGGAAAAAGGCGGAGGGTAAAAAGCAAACCTTTCCAACACCTCCGATGTGAACGCAGGGAAGCATTTAGGCATAAAAGCCGGATTGGGCTTAAGGAAAACCTAAGAGAGAATTTAGTGCACGAGGAATGCACCGAGAGTGCATGTAGCTCACTGACACGTTTAGCTGATGCCAAGGCCGAGAGCAAAGCCGCCTCGAAGGACAGCAGCTTTCAGAAGAAAAAAAAAACAGATAAAAGCACACACTGGGCAACACGGGGAACAGTGAAGCCTGTGCACACTTGAGGTGGGCACCCACTGGCGAGGGGGTGCTGACCTCGCCGACAGATTTTGATTGAGGGAATATGAAGCTAAGCCGGTGGCTTGCTGCGGGATTTAATAGCCTGGTCTGCATTATGGAAATGGCGTTCGGTAGCAGGGGGGTTAGGTGGAAGCACAGAGGGCGTCTGGCGCGGTGGAGGCTTTCTAAGAAGTTTGAAAGCCTCGTCCTCCTTATTCTTGACATGGCAACGCTGTTGCATTAAAGCGACGGCAGGACCAAAGAAAGCGCGGCCAGGATCAACCGGCACTCCAGGAATGCGCCACTTTTCTCTATCGGGGAGACCAGATAGATTAAGCCACAGTTACGTTCTCTTGACGGGCATTACCTAGAACGAGGCCATTAATAGTGACGATCTCCTTCCAGAGAGCGCACGTCCCTTTCTCCCGCTGTTCTCCCATGTCGACCAGGAGCTCGGTCTGGTAAGTGGAAAGCAGGGAGGAGACGTTGCCTGCTCTTACAGACAAGGCCGAGGCTTTATAAGAGGCCTGGTGGATGGACGCGGAAAAGCGATCCATTTTGTCAGGGAGAACAGGCTTAGGAGGGGCGAGCAGCCCAACTTGAGAGGGGTTAAGGTGTCTGATGACCGAGGGCTCGATGGCGGGGGGGTCACCCATCCAGACCCGCGAGACAGTGTTTGAGGTCGAACGGGTCTCCCCAGCAATGTTTAATGTGTTTAGCACACTTAGGGAGGACAGGGGAAAAACTACTTTCTAGGGCCGGGAGAGGGTCCCAGGAGTTTCCCGTTATAGACGTCCCGCTCTTGGTCAGAGGTACTTTGATGGGCCGGCCATTTGATTTTGAGGTGAGCAGCCGCTCGCTCACAAACCTCAAAGAGGACTGATCGGGGTAAAGCCTGTAGCAATGGCTACAGTACTCGGGGAAGTCAGTAACCTCTTCAGTTACTGGCCCATACTGTTTAAGGCCCATTCACACCACACAGCAAAGATGGGAATCCCTAGCGGCACGCGACTGGTTGTCCCCGGGGGTAGCCGTTGTGGTTTTAGAGAGAGCCATCGAAGAAATAAACGAATAATCCGACAGACAGGCAGCCGTAGAACAGGGGGAAATAGTAAAGGGAGCAAGAAGGGCGTCCTGCTAAAGAGTGCGAGCCTGGGCGGCTTGCAGGAATTACTTCGGCTAACCAGGCTGATGGGACAAACACGTCCGACGGAGGCTGATCCAAAGATGTGTTCTCCTGCAGACAATAGTGAAGTCCGTAAAACCAGTGTAAAAATATTCCAGAGATCGCGAGAAGCGAATGTAACCTGGAGAACAGCAGCGCATGCAGGCCTTGTATACCCTCAGCTAAGGGGGTGGGCATCCGATTGCACCAAGTCTGTCTAGACAGACTTGGTGCAATCGGATGCTTCTGCTGAGGTCAGGTACGGATGGCCTTCCCATAGGTGGATCTCGAACACGAGAACCTATTTTTTACCTTGAAAAATTTGAAAATGATTATGATGTGTAAACGTGCATTTATTAAGGTGTAAGGTAAATATTTTGTTACTGTTTGCTTGATGGTTACACCAATTTACTTTTTTAGAGCCATTAAATTGAACACATTTTGAAAATAGTATGTATATTTTTCAAAAATGCATGTATCTAACATCAAAATTAAAAAAAGTTTATATTTCTAAGAATTTGGTACATGCATTTTAAACTATTTTTTCAAATTATATATGTATTTTTTTTTTATCAGAAGACATTCATTGACATTAATATGACAAAAAAAAAAAAAACTAAACTCATTTGGAAGTGATTCATTCGAAGTCTTGTGCACATATTGGAAATCTATTTTATCCAGCCTAGTTTTGAAATGTTGACTTATTCATGAGTTTTTTTATGAAACTGTGACCTAATGAAGGCAGTGGGCCTTAATTACTGTCTGTCATCCCACGATGAAGCACCAGAAGGTTTAGTCTAGAGGTTAAAGGAGACTCTTCAGAGTATCAATTATGCTTTTATGCTGCACAGTGTTATACAGAATAATTAGGAATATGATTAATCACACATCTGTAACTCTAAGGTATTAATTCAGTGTTATAAAGCATTCAGATTAAATATTCTAAAGCATTTTATTAATTTAATAAACCGTTAAATTAATATTCCAGGTTTAATACAAGTTAATACAACACTATGGAGTAGTGTTTAGTTTGTAAAAACAAAGGAAAGATTTTTATACTCTGTACAGTAATGCACTTGCAATGGCAGTCTATGGGACAAGAGTAGTTTCTAGATGTAGTTTCTATTCATAGGTCCGGTCGACATAGTTTAGGCCGACAGCTTCCCAAAACCCTCACAATTGTTAGCCTGTCTAGTGCGACTCCGGAGACTCTTTTTCACCATTGGCCCTGAAACAATACAAATTATTGAATATTGAACTTCAGGATATAGAGCTTAACATTCTACCAAACCTAAAATGTACTGAAATTGTAAAAAATAAATAAAGAAGAAGAACTATATTCTGCTTATTTGTGCTCTTGCAGATCTCCAGGAAGGACTTTGAGGGCTTCAAGAAGCTCTTTCACCGTTTCCTTCAGGAGAAGGGACCGTCTGTTGACTGGGCCAAGATCCAGAGACCACCCGAAGACTCGGTGAGACAGATGAGTGCTTGGATGAGGAATTAAAAATTAGATATTAAGATATACACTAGTGGCCAAAAGTGATGTCTGGAGGGGATATTTGTTTTTAATGACTCAAAAATGTAAATATGAGGAAAGAATGTAATATTTTATAAAAAATATTTTAAGTATAAAGTATAAAAAATATTTATATGAGAAAATTATTTGGCAAAAAGGAAAAACTGCAGCTATAGGGGTTATTTTACTATGCAAAAAGAAGAAAACTCAAAAGCATACATTTACTACAACATTTATCAATTATTATTAATGTATTGGTTCTCTATTGTGCTCATAATTTCTTTGTATGACAGCCTGGCCAAAAAATGATGTCTGCACAATTCTGCATGTTTCATTGCGTTATTGCAAATAAAACAAATGACTCCAAGCTCAACTACACAATATGATTACAAAATCTTTAACACATTTTTAATAATATTTGAAATTTTGAATAAAGAGTTAAGATGTCAAATTTCCTAGGCCACTACTGTGTATACATATATATATATATATATATATATATATAAAGCAGTATACATATATATATATATATATATATATAATATATATAAAAAAATAATTTATATTAAAAAAGATATTGTTTCGTCAATGTTACATATATTATAACCAGTGTTATTTTAGTTTTTATTTTAGTTGTATTAATATTTTGAATTAGCTTTTATTTTTAGCAATTTCATTGTGCTTTTGCATTTTATTAGTGTTTTAATATTGCTATTTATTTTTATTTCATTTTTATTTTTAGTTAGGTTTAGATTTTATTTTGTTATTTTGTTTCCAGTTAATTTTAGTTCTAACTTTTAAAAAAAATTTAAACTAATATTTATATTTTATTTCATTTCAGCTATTTTTTAATTAACAGAAATTTTTGTTTTAAATAACAATAACAATAATCTTTTATGAACACAATGAAATCTTTTTTCATTTTTTACTTCAAAAGCTTCCTATCACTACATTCACAGCGAGAAAGGGAGAGCGGCAGCAGCATAACGTGCTTGTGTATGGGTGCTTTATCAAGCCCATGACATTTCCCTGTTGATCCCCTCCCCAAATAACCCACGGCCCCTCTACAAACACTGAAGGTTAAACTATGAATAGCACAGCACTTCCAGCATCGCACAACTTTGGCTGACATTTCTTTTCACACAGCCGTGGTGAAACTCATGTTACAGCACATAGTAAAGTTCAGGCTGATCTGAAATCAGCTCCATTAGATCGACACTCATCAGACCCATTACGAAATAAACTTCACGGCTGCTTCTAGATCAGCATTGAGGCCTAAAGCATAATCCTCAGTGGTTCTAGTTCAGTCCTCATGCGGGGAAGCGCTCATTGGCTGGATGCTTGATCGGTCAGCTGTGTATATGTGTGTGTCATTTGTTGACAACCGACGTCTCAAATGTTAAGTTTAGTTGGCAGATGTTCAGTCAGGAGAGTGGTGGTTTGAAACCTTATATTTGGTCTGTGGTTTTAACAGTCACCTTGAGGATACTTCTTATAAAGGGGTTATAAAAAGAGAAATTGATTTGATAAATGCAGTGTACTGTATAGAACAGGAACTCTATTATAAGCTTCTCTCCAGTCCAAAAAGAGCATCTATTGACATTATGTTCCTGGTTCAGTACAAGTTAAGCTTAATCACCAGAATGTGTGGCATAAATGTTGACTACCACAAAAAAAGAAATTTGGCCTTATCCCTCCATTTAAAAGACAACAAGTTACAGTGAAAGTGAATGGGGCCGATTTGTGGAGAATTTGAATGCAGAAATGTGAAGCTTATAAGTACTTAAATTATTTCTTCTGTTAAAAATTGTGTATTATTTAAGCTGTAAAGTGTTTACATCATCATTTTAGGGTCTATACTATACGTTTAGTATGCGATTTTCCCACACTAAGATCATATTAACAAGCAGTATACAGTTAGTATTTTAAAGTCACCATGAAATTAAAATGAACAGTTCTTGGGTTTTTTTATGGAATATTGCAGTGTTTGTTATAAATTATTTATCCGTGCACATCATTATTTTTTATAAATTCATATGCCCTCGTAATCTTTAATAAAAAAAACTACCTTCCCCTCCATCTTGCAGCTCATCTCTTCTCTGATGATGCGTTAACTGGCGTGAGGGCGGAGCAACCTGTCACTCACACAAGATCAACCAATAGCAAACCACAACCATCCGATCAACTCCCAATGGACAAAATCAAGTCCCGCCCTACATTTATTCTTGTTCTTAAAGCTGTTTTGCTTGGATAAACGTCACAATAGGGAAGAAAAGACTATCGTAAAAAGATTTTTGCTTTAAAAAAAAAGGAAAGAAATTAAGTGGAGGTTAATTTTGTGGTGCCACAAATGCTGTCAGTTAATCTTAACTTGTTTATATTGTAATATTTCTTTAACCTAGATATCTAAATAATTTTTAAGTAAATGTAAATGAGTAAAGACTAGTCTTGTGGAGCACAAGCAATAAAATGGCAACTTGCAGTTTCTGAGTCATTGGACTTTGACATTTTTGCCTAAATTCAACAGTTGCCACTGTGATGAAACTGCTGTAGGAAGACTTGCTTTACGCAATTTTAATCCGTGCTTTGTTCATCTGAGGTGGATGTGTGTGCATATCTAGATCTGTCGCAGGCTGGAAGCCCGTGTTAAAAGCTTCACACCCAAATTCTGAGATCTGATCAAATCAGCTCATATTTCATATAGAATAATACTGTATGCAAGTCTCTGTTTCAGTCTCTCAAAGCCCTGCTCTTCATGTCATGATCTCGGGGTTAATGACTTTTGGTTTTTGGAGTTTAGTTTAAAGGGCCAGCTCTGTTTGACTGGAGTAAATAAACCCTGGACTGAAAAGTGAAATAAACTTCTATCAAAGGTCTTTCTCGCATCATTTTACACATCTCTGAAGTGAGAAGTACAAAGAGGCAGAATTCAGATAATTAATTGTCTTCAGTCCACTCCACACAAGCTTTCTGTATCCTGGACAAATGATATGGTGTACACGTATGGTTGATATGGTTGTCTTTCACTCCCTCATTGTGTCTCTTGCTTGAACAGATCCAGCCCTATGAGAAGATCAAGTTGAAGGGTCTTCCTGCCGATGTGGCTTCCAGCCTTAATAAACTGGCTGTGGTGAAGCTCAATGGAGGTTTGGGGACCAGCATGGGCTGCAAAGGACCCAAAAGTCTCATCAGCGTCCGGAATGAAAACACTTTCCTGGATCTGACTGTACAGCAGATTGAGGTATTACATCACACACACTTCCTGTCGTTATTCATAACAAGAGCATTACTGATTTACAGCAAAAACTGATGACGAGATTGTCACGTTAAACACTTAACTCAAAGGTTTGGGGTTGGTACGATTTTTTAAAATTTGTTTTTGAAAGAAAAACTATATATTGGGAAATATTATTATAATTTAAAATAGCTCATTTCTATTTTAATACATTGTAAAATGTAATCAAAGCTGAATTGTCAGCATCATTACTCCAGTCTTCAGTGTCACATGATCCTTCAGAAATCATTCTAATATGATGATTTGATGCTCAAGAAACATTTCTGATTATTATCAATGTTGAAAACAGTTGTGCTGCTTCATGTTTTGTGGATACATTTTTTTCTGGTTTCTTTGATGAATAGTATATTCAAAAGAACCATTCATTTTAAATAGAAAGCTTTTGTAACAGTCTTTACTGTCACTTTTGATCAATTTAATGCATCCTTGCTGAATAAAAGTATTAATTTATGTAAAGATCTATTATGCGTTTTTACATTTTCAGCTTTCTTTAGTGTGTAATGTTGCTGTTTAGCATGAAAAAGATCTGCAAAGTTATAAAGCACAAAGTCACTAGAGCTGGAGTTATTCTCTATATCAGTGTCACTGTTTCTGAAATCACTGAAACGCCTCCATTGAAGTCTTGCGTTTTCTTGCGGGAACAAACACGACACAATATTTGTAATTCCCGTCTGGGGAATATGCACACACACAAAAACACACACACACGAGTGAGACCGAGTCGAGACCTGGTTAAAAAACGAGTCGAGACCTGGTTAAGTTGTGATAGTACTGTGTTGAAACTCGTAGTTATACTAAGAGGTGCTACATTTCACAAACACACTTGAAGTGGTTCACCAATCACAACACACTCGTCCAGCCGACCAATCAGAGCACAGTGTGCTTTTCAGAAGGAGGAGTTCATATAGACAGGAACTAAACAGAGCGTTACTGTCAGACTGAGAAGAGAGGTGCCGCAACAATGTCAAATATGTGAAAAATTTCTTTTTTTTACATTCAAGCATGAAAACCTCTTCTAGTGGACACCAAACTCTAAATCACAACTTTGTAAAAGGGCATAATAGGTCCTCTTTAAAAAGAAATCTTACTGACCCCAAACTTTTTTGCATTTAGCATTTCTTTAAGTTTTTGTAATTGAACAGAACTGAATTGTGTGCGACCTCAGAACAGTGGATGATGTGTCATCTAGTGGGTTTAGACATTTCTTTGGATTATTTGCAATCTATTTAAGATGATGTAAGACCCTGTTTGCAGTTTCAGACCTTGGTAAAAGGTTTCCCTCTGTGCCAATGACCAATTACCCCAGAGTTGCGTAATAATAACAGTTTTTTCCCACATGACGAAATAAAAGAAATTTACAGTAATATCTTGAGAAATACTATTTTGTTATGTAATAAAAACATACCTATGATAGACCTACATTGAAATGGCAACCAGTGCTTGGCTTGGCTAGGCCCGGTTTTGAGAGGAACTTGTTTTAACATCTAGAATAATTTAATTGAGTGACGTAATGCCATCATATGCTCTAATGTAATGGTCATACAGTAATATACATATGATGAGTAATATACAAAAAATTTATTTTAAATGAACAGCAAAAATAAAGCGACCGGAGAATTTTGGTGTGTGGAGTGAAATACCTTAGCTGAATCTCTCTCTTTCAGCATCTAAATAAGTCGTATAATGCAGACGTGCCCCTGGTGCTGATGAATTCCTTCAACACAGATGAGGACACTAAGAAGATCTTGCAGAAGTACACACATCACCGTGTCAAGATACACACCTTCAACCAGAGCAGGTACACATATCCTTATCCAGGCCAGTGAGAAATATCATCTTACTGTGTTCTCTGGAATCAGTTTTTTATCATCAGAAACATGCAGCGACTTATATTCCAGAGCGATTTAAATAATACAATTAACGTCAAGCACACAAAACATTTGTTTTTTTGCCGAATGAGTGAACAAGTGTATTTGTATAGCGCATTTAACAAACACAGGTAGTTTCAGTTTTGCTTTAAATAACTGAGTTTAGGCTTCTGGTCTGAATTTGAGGGAAACTAAAACATGTTTATGGTGTTTGTTTGTAAACGCTTCGTTTTACCAGTATTTTATATTATTTCTGAATGTAATAATACAATGTCCCTTATACACGGTACGACTTATTAGGTGTTCAAGCACGAAGTGCTGAAAACCTATTGTAATCGTCCTGATTTTTAGGTGTTCAAGCACGAAGTGCTGAAAACCTATTGTATTTGTAAGGATTTTTATTATTATTATTATTATTTTTCTTCCGCCGTAAAACGCATCGTGCAGCCCAAACCGTAAGAGCTGGAGCCTTGAAACTTTGTCAGATGGTAGTACAAAAATCGAGGAGAGGTTATCAAATTATGAGCCCGATTGGCCCATAGGTGGCGCTATAGCAACCAATTGCGCGAAACTGCTCATAATTCCTAGACCGTAAGTCGTAGACTCAAGTGTCTTATATCACTGGAAAGCTGGTCACCTGACGAAAAAAACGTATATCTCCGATTTAATTTCCGCCAATATAGATTTTCCGCCATTTTGAATTTTGTCAAAAAACTACTTTTGCGAACTAGTCCCTGGTTTTTCGCCCGATTGGAACCAAACCAGTGCAGAAATGTTCTCTGGAGTCTGAATATCAATAATTATTGAAAAAAAGTCGAAATTTCGATTTCCGGTCGCTAGGGGGTGCAAAATAAACGTTGTGGGAGGAGCCTATTTTACTAAAATGGCTATAACTCGTAAACAAAATGAGATATTTTTACCAAACTTGCTAGACATATGTATGAGCTCAATTTGAGGTCACAGTAAAAAAATTGCGTTGATTGAGCTCTAGGTGGCGCTATAACATGAAAAAAACATATGGCCACCTAGTGGTTAGTCCGATTGACTTGAAAATTGGTATGCAGTGTCTTGGTCCAAGGCCCCATGTATGTTTATGAGGACATTGGCGTATCTCAAAAAACATGGCCGCCATCGGCCAATTAAGTTTGAGCACCTGTGAGACGAGGTTAACGGAGGCCAATCGGAACGAAACTCGATGGGCATGTTCGACTCATGGCCCAAGAGGTCTGTAAGAGTTTTGAAAGAAATCGGCCACTAGTTGGCGCTAACGAGTTTTATGGCTCTGTAATCACGTGGTGTTGCACACATCCCCACAAAATGCCTATAATTTGATAGATCTCCTCATGCTGAACAACTTTGCCTCTAGAACCATTGCTGTCAATCAAACCGTTCATTAAATATTCACGAATATGTTAAAAACCTACTTTTGCGAACTAGTCCCTGGGTTTTGCCCGATCGGAACCAGACCAGTCTAGGACAATTCTCTGGACTCTCTAGATCAATAATTATTAAAAAAAAGTTTAACTTTTGCATTTTTCGTATGGCTATAATAGGGTCATTTAGAAAAGGGGCGTGTCCAAATACACTCAAAAGCCTATAAATCATTCAAAAAAACTCAGAACTTCACAAAAATTGGTGAGCATATGTGACATAACATCATGAACAAGCATGCAAAGTTTTATGGAGATCGGACAATAGGTGGCGCTATAACTGTTGAAAAGGTTTAAAACCATGTATTTCCTATGGTAAATTGCTTGTATTGGCTGTAAATGGTCTTTTCCATCTATGGTCATATAATTTTCATATCATAATGTTCAAAATCAGTGCAGTACAATTCTCTGGAATCTCTAGATCAATAATTATCGAAAAAAAGTTGAACTTTGCCATTTGGTTCATTATAACAGGATCATTTATAAAAAGGGGCGTGTCAAAACACACTCAAAAGCCTATAAATCATAATTAAAAACTCAGAACTTCACAAAAATTGGTGAGCATATGTGCCATAACATCATGAACACGCATGCAAAGTTTTATGGAGATCGGACAATAGGTGGCGCTATAACTGTTGAAAAGCTTTAAAACCATGTATTTCCTATGGTAATTGCCTGTATTGGCTGTAAATGGTGTGTTCCATCTATGATCATATAATATTTATATCATAATGTTCAAAATCAGTGCAGTACAATTCTCTGGACTCTCTAGATAAATAATTATCAGAAAAGTTATAACTTTATTAGGGTCACTTCAATATGTAGCCTTGACCAAGAAAGCCTATATCTCTTCAATGAATGCTCAGATCTTCTTAAAAACAAGTCAGAACATGTGACTCTAAATAAGATAAGAAATAATGCATCTATAACAGTTTAAAAGGTTAAAGTTATGACATAATGGCATATTAAGCCAATAAGTGGTATTCTACTGCCCCCTGCTGTTTAAAATAGTCATTTTGTCATGCTACTAACTACTAATATTCTATAATTCTTATTTAGAGTTTATAAAATCACTATTTTAACATTTACACTCACATTTTGTCAAAATTCATCTATTGAAGCATTGTGTCACAGACAAATGTTAATCCTGAATGAGACACAGTTCAGATCACTTTATCTACAACAGAATGTGTGTGTGTAGTCCCATGTTTCTGAATAAATCCTGAATAATCTGATTAATAGCTTGCAAAGACATATATTTTAATGGTCTATAAGCATTTCATATATTTTCATTATATTTTCATAATGACTTGTGCGTGTGTGTGTGTGTCTAGATCTGAAAGCACCTGTGAAAAGACTTTATTAATAAGTAGAGTGGCCAGCAGAGGGCAGTAGAAGACCACTTATTGGCTCACTTTCATTTTAACAGCCTCGAGTTTCAACAAAATTCTGAACTAAAGCAAACCAGTTTTTCCATGTTAACTGCATTATCCATGCTTACTATAAAATCCATTATAACAATTACTTTTATAACACAATCATATTTTGTCAGAGTGTAACACTTTATTTGTACTGACACATGCTAGATGCATGGTAAATCATACTAGAACGCAGTAAATCATGGTAAACAGTCGTAAATCATGCTAGAACAGGGTAAATCATGTAAAGCATACTACAACATGGAATATCATGGTAAAACTATGGTAAATCATGCTAGATTCATGGTAAATCATACCAGAGCGTGGTAAATCATGGTAAACGATGGTAAATTATGCTACAACAGGGTAAATCATGTAAAGCATACTAGAACATTGTGAATCATGCTAGATTCATGGTAAATCATACTAGAACATGGTAAATCATGGTAAAACTATGGTAAATCATGCTAGATTCATGGTAAATCATACCAGAGCGTGGTAAATCATGGTAAACGATGGTAAATTATGCTACAACAGGGTAAATCATGTAAAGCATACTAGAACATTGTGAATCATGCAAGATTCATGGTAAATCATACTAGAACATGGTAAATCATGGTAAAACTATGGTGAATCATGCTAGATTCATGGTAAATCAAACTAGAACATGGTAAATCATGGTAAAACTATGGTAAATCATGCTAGGTTCATAGTAAATCATACCAGAGCATGGTAAACGATGGTAAATTATGCTACAACAGGGTAAATCATGTAAATCATACTAGAACATGGTTAATCATGGTAAAACTATGGTAAATCATGCTAGTATCATGGTAAATCATGGTAAACGGTTTTCCATCTATTATGTCAGTGGTTACATGCTTGCTAAATGTCTTTAATGCTTATGTGCTAAAAGGGCTTAACTGCTTGAACACCGCTAAATGCTGCTTGCAGCTTTAATTATTATTATTTTTCTCCTGTAAAACGCATCGTGCAGCCCAAACCGTAAGGGCTGGAGCCTTGAAACTTTGCCAGATGGTAGTACAAAAATCGAGGAGAGGTTATCAAAGTATGAGCCCGATTGGCCCATAGGTGGCGCTATAGCAAGCAAAAGTAGGAAATTGTGCATAACTCCTAGACCATTTATCCCAGAATCAAGTGTCTTATATCCCTGTAATCCTTGGCTCAAGACGGACAAAACGTATATCTCCGATTTTATTTGCGTCTGGAAAAAATTTCCGCCATCTTGGATTTTGTCCAAAACCTACTTTTGCGAACTAGTCCCTGGTTTTTCACCCGATTGGAACCAAACCAGTGTAGAAATGTTCTCTGGAGTCTGAATATCAATAATTATCGAAAAAACGTTGAATTTTCGATTCACGGTTGCTAAGGGGCGTCAAAACGTTCGCAGGAGGCGGAGCTAATTTTACTAAAATGGGTATAACTCGTGAACAAAATAAAATAATTTCACCAAACTCGGTACACGTATGTATGAGCTTTATTTGAGGTCACAGTAAAAAAAATCGCGACGATCGAACACTAGGTGGCGCTATAACATGAAAAAAACATATAAAGGACTGACAGTTAGTCCGATTGACTTGAAAATTGGTATACAGTGTCTTGGTCCAAGGCACCATGTATGTGTATGAGGACATTGGCATATCTCAAAAAACATGGCCGCCATCGACAAATGAATTTTGAGCCCCTATGAGACGAGGTTAACGGAGGCCAATCAGAACGAAACTCGATGGGCATGTTCGACTCATGGCCTAAGAGGTCTGTAAGAGTTTTGAAAGAAATCGGCCACTAGTTGGCGCTAACGAGTTTTACGGCTCTTTAATCACGTGGTGTTGCACATATCCCCACAAAATGCATATCATATGATAGATCTCCTCATGGTGAACAACTTTGCCTCTAGAACCATTGCTGTCAATCAAATCGTTCATTAAATATTCACGAATATGTTAAAAACCTACTTTTGCGAACTAGTCCCTGGTTTTTTGCCCGATCAAAACCAGACCAGTCTAGGACAATTCTCTGGACTCTATAGATCAATAATTATCAAAAAAAAGTTGAACTTTGCCCTTTGGTTCACTGTAACAGGGTCATTTAGAAAAGGGGCGTGTCAAAATACACTCAAAAGCCTATAAATCATAAATGACAACTCAGAACTTGACAAAAATTGATGAGCATATGTGTCATACCATGGTGAGGAAGCATTCAAAGTTTCATGGAGATCGGACCATAGGTGGCGCTATAACTGTTAAAAAGCTTTAAAACCATACATTTCCTATGGTAAATTGCCTGTATTGGCTGTAAATTGTCTTTTCCATCTATGATCGTATACTTTTCATATCATAATGTTTAAAACCAGTGCAGTACAATTCTCTGGACTCTCTGGATCAATAATTATCAGAAAAGGTTGAACTTCTGCATTTTGATGGCTATAAAAGGGTCACTTCAATGTGTAGCCTTGACCGAGTGTGCCCGAAAGCCTATATCTCTTCAATGAATGCTCAGATCTTATTAAAAACAACTCAGAACATGAGACCTATCACTCTAAACAAGCATGACAATTTTCAGACAGATCGGACAAAATTTGCCTCTATTACAGTTAAAAGGGGGGAAATTATATGACCATAATGGCATATTAAGCCAATAAGTGGTATTCTACTGCCCCCTGCTGTTTAAAATAGTCATTTTGTCATAATGCTGACTATTATTGTTCTATAATTCATATTTAGAGTTTATATAATCAATATTTTAACATTTACAATCACATTTAGTCAAAATTCATTGTCACATTGACAAATGTGAACCCTGAATGAGACAGTTTAATCTACAATAGAATGTGTGTGTGTGTAGTTCCATGTTTCTGAATAAATCCATATGTGACATAACATCATGAACATGCATGCAAAGTTTTATGGAGATCGGACCATAGGTGGCGCTATAACTGCCTGTATTGGCTGTAAATGGTCTTTTCCATCTATTATGTCAGTGTTTAAATGTATGCTACATAAAACTTAATGTCTTTTGATGCTTTTGTGCTTAACGGCCTTAAAGGCCTTAACTGCTTGAACACCGCTAAATGCTGCTTGCAGCTTTAATTCATGTTTATTTTTTTTCTTTTTTTTTTTTTTTTCATTTTCCAGAAAATAGGGTACTCATATTTTGTCTTTTATAACAGTGTTAATGAAACGAATGTCTTAAAAAATCATTTCTTCCAGTGTTTTTGTAAATATAAAGTTTGATATTTTAAATCAAGGGCGAAATTGTCAATCACACATTGGGGGGGACAGCTGTGGAACTTTTTGTGTTGGCGCATGCACACATTTTTTTAATCAAAATAAAATAAAAGTCAGAGTCCGAATGTTTGTAATTGTAGGCCTATAACACAACAAGGAATTTTATTACATCTGATCGTCAAACCAACGTATAGCCTACTCACAATGATTACAGCATCGGCATCAATTACAGGCCTGAATTGACAACAAAGCGGTCAGTGATCTCTCTCTCTTATATTCTTCTATAGGGGCGTAGAATTTAGTAGGGACACTAGGGACGTGTCCCTACCAATATCCAGTGACACTGATATATCCCTAGCAATAATTTCGATCAAAACTTAAAATATATTTATATTGATGTCCCCGTCCCCACCAATTTCAAAATCAAACCTACGCCACTGCTATAAACATATAGTGGCTATAAACATTTTGATTAAATTACGGTTACAGGATAACAGGATATTTACCATTCATAGATAGCCTATGTGCCAAATGTCTGTCAATTTCCGCGCTCCTCCTAACTCTTTTTCTGTTTGGTTTTTCCTAACTCACTGACGATGCACTAGGGATAGGAAAACATGACATGGATTTCAGGAGAAATAGGTTTTGCTAAATGTATAGTGTAAGGAAGTCCGAATGGATTTGGGAAATGGACCGGCCGGGATTTTATATTTTCGGAGCTGGGAAGAAAGACGTAGGCTATTTGCAATCACATCTGGCCCTGCCCGCATAATCATACAAGCCGCGTTTCCATTAGGCTACTCTTCAAATTGCGCCAATTGAAATTGCGTAGCCTAATGAAAATGCGCACAATGGAAACACGTCCATTTCGCAAAAACTCCCGTTTATCCCAATAAAGTTTTTACGCTTGCATGAGGAGGCTTTTCAGGCAATTTGAAAAAGGAATATTTCGCAAAACTGCAATGGAAACGGGTTTTGCGCATTTACAGTCAGCTGACTTAGAATACGCGGTGTGTTTTGGGTCCGTGTCCGCAAATAATAATTATAATTATCATCATAACATTTATTATATGTAGAAGACGCTTTTATCCAAAAAAGGAACAAAGCAATTCGTCACATTTCATTCATAATACAGGTTGGACAATAATAATAGGGCTAAGATTATCACAAATAAACACAAGATTTTGACGCATATCCAAGTGTGTGTGCGGACTGGGTGTGGAGCGCGCACTGGATGGCACGGAGGCGTGGGCGCGAACACTTGCATTTTCCTATCAACAGTCGAAACAACTTAAAATACTCTATCATTTCTGGTCATACAGAATATAATAATACATTATTCGCAACTACTTTTATTTGCGTAATCTCACAATAAGAAGAAAACGATGTGGTTTTGTAAAATAAAATAAAACAATCAGGCGCGCTTTCATGATCTCCGTGAACTGAAGCGCGAGAACTGATAGGCTAGCCTTTGTAGACTGAAGCTTTAAATGTCCACTTTAAAAGGAACAAATTCGAATCGAAAGCTAATACCTTCTGATTATGTAATCCGTATGAAAGGTGCATTTCTCTCTAAAGGTGCATCTGGAGATGGAGATATGTTTTTAGCCGACACTGATTTAGGAAAACAATAGTTTATTAATAAACAATTAAAATGCCTCGTTATTTTTTGCAGACACATTTATTATAGCCTAACTCAACTATACATCCCCTTTCTGTAGGCTGTGGTTATGGCTCTTCTCATTTAGCACTGCGGTAAAAATATAATTTCCAGGTTCTAATTTGGCCTTAGAAAACCAGTAAAATCTACATTTTTTTCTCCATATTAATTTGTGAATATTTTAAATGTTTAATAAAGGGGCAAAAAGTCATAAACAAATATTTGAAAATTCGTCTCTCTCTCTCTCTCTCTCTCTCTCTCATATATATATATATATATATATATATATATATATATATATTATTTTTTATTTTTTTATTTTTTTGTGCAGCATTTGGTGTAGGCCTACAGGTCAAACTAAAATGTTGGTGTTCACCTTTGCGTTTTAAAAATACAACAACCGTTCATTTTTCGTTTTGCAATTAGGCCTACGGGTTAAATAAGAAAAATGAATGCAAGTACACTGACCGTTTGGACATAATACGAGACGGAGTTCTTTATTGAATTCATAAAATAAACAATAATTACAGGAGTAGTCTACTGGGCTCTAAACCCACTGATCTATATAATGACATTAATAAAGTCATTCTATATTGATCAGTGTCTAAACCTCAAAGAAATGCCACAATCAAGACATCGGAGCAGAAATGAGGGAGAAACACCCAGGAACTCCGTGTCTTTCCCTGCCATTAACGCTTGGATAACACGCCACGTCTCCTTCCATTAATAATAATAATGTCTATGCGGTGGCTGTGATATAGGCTATAAACCTACCAACGTCCGTTGCCATGATTTTTGGAATGACTGATCGCGAGAGGAAAAAAAGACGTTTTAGTCGCATAACATCGGTTAATGGAACGCCGTCATTTCGCAATAGTTTTTTATCGACATTTAGAAAATATCGCAAAAGTTTTGCGCAAATCTGTAATGGAAACGCGCCCCAAATATGATCAAATATTGGGGGGGACAAATTGCCCTTCGTTGAATATTGGGGGGGACGTGTCCCCCTGTCCCCCCATAGGATTACGCCTATGTTTTAAATACAAAACACTCAATGGCCACATTAAAGAACACTGTGCTATTTTCTGTTAATTTTGCCCAAACATATTGAATATATTGTAAATATGCACAAAAATATATCAGCCAGCTTTAGGGAACATTGGTTCTCACAATAAAACATCAATAACTGAGGTAATATGATTTCAAGTTTGTTGTTATTTCAAGATTGATTCACCCATCAGTTCTCACAATAAACCATTAGTAAATGAGGTATTATTATAATTTCAAAATGGCCACAGCTTTGTGAGTTGTCAACTTCTCTATTTCTCGCTCCTGCACAGGTATCCCAGGATCAATAAGGAGTCTTTGTTACCAGTGGCCACTAACATAGGCCTGACGGGTGAGAATGAAGAAGCCTGGTACCCGCCCGGGCACGGAGACATCTACGCCAGCTTTTACAACTCCGGCCTGCTGGACAAGCTCATCGCTGAAGGGAAAGAGTACATTTTTGTGTCCAACATTGATAACCTGGGCGCCACGGTGGACCTGCACATCTTGAACCACCTGGTGAGCCAGGCCAGCGGCAAACGCTGCGAATTCGTCATGGAGGTCACCGATAAGACACGAGCTGATGTGAAGGTGAGGGCTGTGACCAACGTATTCCTCATTTCATTCGTGAAACACAGAAACAGAGCAGCGTGGATTGCAGCAGCATTCTTCATATTTTTAGATGGGTTTCGAATGACAGGGTGAATAAATGACAGAATTTTCATTTTCGGTTGAAATGGTCCTCTGAGGCTTGATAGACTTGAAGTGAAATTGAAGAACGAAATGGTGTGATGTAATTTAGAACAAAATCAGGCAACACGAAGTTTGCTGGGAGTTCAAAACAGCTTGCCAAACCAAACTTTTTTTTTAAAAAATGTGTCCTCTGTGTCTCTGCCGCCTTTGACGTGGAAACCTTTCTCCGGCTCATTTCTTCTGTTCAGTCCGTAGAAGTCGGAGGCAAGTGAAAACATGACCACACTGGAGAGCTGCTTTATAGTAGAAATGAAAGCTCTAATTCTAATTGGAAGCGACACTGACACTGTTTTTCTTTTTTAATACTGTAAAGCTGCTTGCTTTTAAGAAATCTAGTATATTGTAATATAAGTGCTATATAACTAAACATGACATGACTGGAATTGCAGAAAACAGAAAAAAAAAGAAGATGGGAAATGTTTATTTAGAAATATTCCAGCTAAAAAATAGCACAGATGTAAAGTTTCTATAAGTTATATTATATTATATTATAAGAATCCACCTTCTTTTACATGGAAATCTTCTCCGGTTCATTTCTTCTGTTCAGTCTGTCGAGGTCAGACACGCGTCAAAACAAACAACACATTGTAGAACTGCATTTATTAGTAGAAGTTGAAGTTGTAATTCTAATCAAAAGCGACACTGACTTTTTGCCTTTTTTCATGTTTAGTACTGTAAAGCTGCTTGCTTTTTAACAATCTATTGTATAGTGCTATATAAATAAACGTGACGTGCAGAGCTTGTGCGAATCCACATCGCTATGACCAGATGCTTTCTTAACTGCTGGTTTTTGGGTGTGTAAGTTTGCTATTGTGAGGAAAGCACACGGCACATATTCACATATCCATCTAAACGGCTCTTTCAGCAGCGTGGATGGTTTTTGATTGTTCGCTAACAGCATAATCCAGCAAAAGTATTACAAACTAAAGTTTGCAGAATGAAAAAAGAACTGAGTGAGTATATCAGGGCCTTGAAGCTCATTGGCTAATGCAGATCAGTTGGTGTTGTTTGTTTCAGGGTGGGACGCTGACGCAGTATGACGGGAAACTCAGACTGCTGGAGATCGCTCAGGTGCCCAAAGCTCACGTAGACGAGTTTAAATCCGTCACCAAGTTCAAGATCTTCAACACCAACAACTTGTGGATCAGCCTGCCGGCCATTAAAAGGCTTCACGAAAAGAACGCAATGGACATGGAGATCATTGTTAACCCTAAGGTGAACACCATACCCTCCACATTAACGCATATCAACATCTGTGTATGAAACAGCATTCCTCTTCTGTCCCCAGACTTTAGATGGCGGTCTGAATGTCATTCAGTTGGAGACGGCTGTGGGCTCTGCCATGAAGAGCTTCGACCACGCGCTGGGCATCAACGTGCCCCGCAGCCGCTTTCTCCCCGTCAAAACCACCTCTGACCTCCTGCTGGTCATGTCTAACCTGTACAGCATGGACGCGGGCTCTCTGACCATGAGCCCCAAGAGAGAGTTCCCCTCAACACCTCACGTCAAACTGGGCAGCTCCTTCACCAAGGTAAGCTCTGAGGCAGACTTATACACTGCAAAGGGTATTCTGGCCACCTAGACAGGAAGAGAGCGCTTGACTTTAAGGTAAAGCAGCCAGTCACTCCATATCATAATAATGGGCCATTTATGTTATTGTAATATAAATTATATATATATAAACATTAAAGAAATGTGTGCTGTCGATTTAACGTGCTCATTTAAGTAATTAGTTATGGGGAAAAAATTGCGCATTAAAATTATTAACGCACCCGTCCCCTATCAAACCTACGTAAAGTTAGTTCATCTTACTTTTCATAGTTGATTCTGACGAACATGAAGCAGGGCAACAACTCACTGTGTGATAACTGATAAGACCCTATTGAACAGTGTTGGGCAGTAACGCGTTACTGTAACGCAGTTACCTTTGACAGTAACTCATACTGTAACGCATTACTTTTTAAATAAATTAACTCCGTTACCGTTACCATATGGTGCGTTTGTCCGTTACTTTTTAAAATTAATTAATTTTGGCTGAAGTGTAGCCTACAGCCTAACCTGTTTACAGCACCCGTCCCTTAAAATACGGAATTGTCCCGTATTTACAAGTAAAATTACGCGTCCGTATCAAATCAATAAGGGACGCGATTTGTCCCGTATTTTACATAAGGCCCACGCATAGCCTAGTTGGATAAAAACATAGGCTTTACTATACTAATAGCAAATAGCCTTTAAATAAATCAATTTCACAATAATGTTACATTATGATTATAATCAAATTAATTTTGTCCATTTTCTAAGCTTAGAAAATGCACATTTAGGCTATACGGGCTGAATTTTTTAAGGCTTGTTTAGTAATTATGTGAATTACACTGCGCAAACTACTACCCACCGAATGAAGAAGGGTTGGCTCTCAGTCTCCACAGAACAAAATATTTATTTTATTTTATTTTTAGTGTTCGCATTTATGAGGAAAAAACAGTGTTACGGACGTGACAGTTCTCCGTTATGGACGCGACGCGCTCTGAAAGCGGCACTAAAAGATGCTTTAATACTTGCAGAGACTTCAAACAGAAAGCACAAAACCTTTCTTTAAAGTGAATTTCGTTTTGTATTAATTGTATCTTAATTTTAATCAATGTTTCATCAACCAATTGCCTGGATTTAATAAATAAGAAGTAAATATAGCAGACGATAGATAATCACGAAATGGAGGCGCCGGCGCGTGAACTGGAGCTCGTCTCATAAATGAACCGAAACTCGGCGTATAAGGTAACCTACTTGCCTCACAGACATGTCTACTTTTAAACAGAACAATTCAAAACGAAAGAAAACAGACTACAGACTGCTCTCTGCTTATGTAATCCGTATGAAATGTGCATTTCTCTCTGGCGCGTCTACTGCGAAGATCGCGAGTCGGCATAGTGAGTCACCTCAGAAATCCTTGTGATATATTCAGTTTGTGCTGGTCTGACTCAAATAAAATAGTGTTTAAAAATTACTTTCTGTTTCAGTCAGTTTTGTGTTTGTATAGACCATAACGCATAAAAGGGCATTAATGGGAACATTAAAGAATGTTTGTTTTTTTAAGTAACTAAAAAGTTACTTTTAACAGGAACGCATTACCTTTTGGTGTAAGTAATCAACAAAGTAATTGAGTTACTTTTTGAATGAAGTAACTAGTAACTGTAACTAGTTACTATTTCTTAGTAACTAGCACAACACTGCTATTTAATGCAGTTATAATGCCCCTAAAATTCAAGATATCAGATCAAAAATGCCCCTGAATGAGTTTTTGTCTCATATTTATATCATGATATTATAGTTAAGCAATAGCACGAGAGTAACGAGCGCAATTTCACAGAGTGATGTTTTTGTCCCGAATAGCACGAGTACAAATGTGAAATTGATTTTATACAACAGGTAAATAAATATGTTATGTTATAAATGTTATGTTTTAGACACAATACTGTCTGTTTTTGCTCAATTATGCCAACGAAAATATTACCTATAAAGCCAGAGCAGAACTGTTGTGAGTCTCCGAGAAACAACACGTGATTCGTTTCCGAATGAATCCGTGGTTTGAGCGAATCAATCGGGCGAACCAATGATTCAATGGCTCATTCATAAAGAGTCATTTACTTCATTCCTGAATGAATCTGCCGTTTGAACGAATCGAATGAATGATTCAATGATTTACTCATTTAGAAATTTACCACCACCTACTGGCAGTTTTGGTTTCTTATTTAGAGTATCACTTTATTAAAAAATATTTCATTTTTCCATATTAATTAAAAAAACATTAAAGGTATAGTTCACCCAAAAATGAAATTTCTGTAATTTACTCACCCTCGTGGCCCTTGTAGTCTAAAAGTTAAGTGTAATAAATTCTATGTTGAGTCAAATAAAATTATTATGTATAATTTCTCAGCCAAATATGGTGCGATTAATTAGATTTAACTAATCGCCACATCATGTAATTAGTTATATAAAAAAATGTAGTACAAATAAAAATGTTGATAAAGTTATTAAAATTAGCTGTTCAGTATTTGAATAGTTTTAAATTATTTTATTAATAAAATATTTTAGATTTAAAATGTTTATTTATTTTATTTTAAAAGTTATTTTCACAGACGAATTTCAGTTATTCAAGGCCTGAAACATTGAATTACTTGTTCAGTAATAAGTACCGTTTAAATATTTTTATTTTAAGCCTACATTGTAAGAACATACTTTGCAAATCAACACAAAAGAAATTGAACTTTCCAGGTTCGAGACTTCCTGAAAAGGTTTGAGAGCATCCCAGACATGCTGGAACTGGATCACCTCACTGTATCAGGGGACGTTACCTTCGGAAAACAAGTCACGGTCAAGGTACAAAGTCACTGATACGCATGTAGGCATTTGAGAGCATTCACAAACATTGTGCGTGTACGTATCATAACTTGCTGTTTGTGTACAACAGGGAACGGTTATCATTATTGCCAATCATGGAGACAGGATTGACATCCCGGCTGGAGCGATGCTAGAGAACAAGATCGTTTCAGGAAACCTGCGCATCCTGGACCACTGAGGCCTTCACAACCACATTTCACCTGGACATTTCTATGTGTATGTGTGGAAATGTGTGTCAGATTTGAGTGTGACCGAAAAAGCCGTCTATCTGATTACTATTAAATTCCCATAAGAAAACAATCATTCTTTTCACAGTGAATTTCAAAAAGGGCTGTATATTCACAGGTTTTATTAATGTAAATTTAAGACTTTTTTTTTTAAGACCAAGTAAAGAAAATTGAAGGGAACATGAAACGTCAATATGTTCTCGAAAATGTAACTCAAATGTAACTGAAGCAACACTTCATAGTTTGAAAACACAACTTCCTACAGATATCCATTACTTTTTAATTCATTTTACAAAAAAGTATCTTAAATACCTCTGCTCTCAACCTCTAGAATATGGACATAACTTTTACTGTATCTTCTGATCAGACTGCAAAAAAGTGGTGTTCTTCCTCAGTATTTTTGTTAGATATTAAGATATTATGAAGTCTTGTTTTCTGTGAAATTGATCAAAACAAAGTGAGTTTTGCTTAAAAAAAAATCAACTTAATTCAAAGTGAAACTCACTGACAGATATCTGTTCTTGTTTTAAGAATAAATTCACTTCATTTTATTATATTTTTCAAGACTTCATTTTACATTTGCATCTCAGGTAAACGTATCAAAAATATTTTTCAATATTTGTAATAAATATCATTTGTTTGCAATGCATGCAACATTTAAAGCCATAACTTTATGAATTCAGGACTTTCTTCTCTGATTTAAGAGCTTTTTAAGGCCTTAAACTGTGTAAGTGTGAACTAAGACCTTTTAAGACCTGCAGAAACCCTGTATTCAGTTTTTAAAAAGATTAGTTTGCTGCTAATTAGCTCACTCAGTAAAATATGAATACCAGAAGTTGCAGAGGATGGAAGCAAGAGACGGTTCAAATATGGCAGAAATAAAAAAAAAATTGGAGTCTAGAAAATTACTCAATAACTGCATAATTAATAATAGAATAATTATAAATTATAGCCTAACTAAAAAGTAAATTATAATACAAAGTAGATTTCATTTTTATAAATATAAAGCATCATTTAAAGCAGCACTAAGTAGGAATTCTGTTTTTGTCAAACAGCGACCCCTAGAGTCGCTGTGGAGTACTTGTACTGTCGTGAATAGCACTCACGCAGAGATGGCTCGCACTCACGGCCGGATCCCCTCCCCCTGTACACCGGTACCTGTTCAGTAGGATGGACGCTGTAACGAGTGGAAATAAGGTATGGCCCCTTTAAGAGCTGCGCGCGCCCAACACCACACGTATACAGCGCCGGGTTATTTCTATTTGATGCTCATTTTATCAGAATTTTATCAGATCTGTTTTTTTGCCGTAAAGCAATTCGTTACCTCGCGAGACCTGATATCACACGATACTTCCTAACACTGAGGCCGGCGGCGTGCCGGCCCAAAGTTGCAAGGGTGGTTTTGCGGCTCACAGGCACCAGGGGGGTGCGAGACGACCACCATTCAACACGAAATCAGTAATATAAACATTACAATGACTCCAAAGCTGTTCGGTTAAGGTAAAAAAGTTACTTAGTTCACCTTTAACACCAACCCAGCAAGTACAATCTTTATATAAATCTGTAATGCACTTTACAAATGAATCAAATCGTTGCTCAATGGCTCACTGCAAACATTTCAAAATTTGACATTAAAGACGCTGCTGAAAACGTTTGTACACGAGGCAGTATCATGTTTTTAGTTCTTTGGGAAGACATTGACATACAGTCTCAATCGATGCCCCCTAGTGTCTGTAAATTTAAATCCGCAGATTAATAACAAGATCAAGCAGTGCATTCTTCACCTCGATCCTTCAGCACGCTTGATTGACTTCAGCACTTCACACTGTCATTCAAAGAAAACACATCAATCAACACATTTATCAAGGTACAGATTTAAACTTGTTCGGAAAACAAGTTTCTTGATTTTGTAGAAACATCTTTTGTCATGCTTTGCTGTCCGCACATCATCTGAGATCTCAAGCAGGAATTCAGATTCAGGCAGGAATTGAGCTCCAGGTCGCCAGGTTAGAGGCAAAAGCAAAGTCATAGAAAAGACAACAATTTTATTCCAAGTAAAAAAAAAACATTTGACTTCCTCCCAGTCCTGAAGTGCGTGTTGGTGTCATACAGCTGTTGTGTCGCCGTACTCTCGGTTCCAGCGCACGTACTGATCCAGCGTTTGAGGACCGACGCTCCGCTTTATCCTCTTCAGGGAATCCACGAAGTCCGGAAAACGGATGTCCCTCATCTGACCGAGAAAAACACCAGAACAAAAGGGGGGGAAACGTCAAAAATAGCATGGGAATTTAGTTTTTCAAAAGTAGCAATACTTACAATTGTTACAATTGTTGTATACAAATGTCTTAGCATGAACACTCAGCTAGCTAACTTTTGTGTAAAATAGGTTTGTTTTAGTTTTATCATTTTAGAAAAACATCATGGTGACAGAATTTGTATTTTTTGGTTAACTATCCCTTTAATAAGATAATTAATATCAGGGTTATTATAGTTAGCTACATCTAAAACCATTCAAATGAATTAAAAAAATGTATAACGGCTAGTTGACAAAGCAACATTTCTCATTTTCATTTAGATTAACTTGATTAAAATAACCAATAGTGATAGAAACTAATAACTAACTAAAATAAACTGAAATTGAAATGAAAATGATTAAAACCCTCATAGACATTTTAAAAAAATAGCACAAAAAAAAAACTATTAAAAAAATATATATACATGTATATATATATAAAAACACTTTAACCCTCTGGGGTCCTTCATTTCAGAGTCACACTCAGGACCTTCGGGTCCAAATGAGCTGGAAGGGTGGGATTAATATTAATTAAAAAAAAAATCATCATTTTCTTTTTTTTACTTGTTTTTTATAATATTTTTTCTTTTCTTTTTTGGTGTTTTGAGATAATTTCAAAAATAAAAATGATTTATAATTAATATTAATGCAATAATTATGACCCATTTTTTCCCCATTGAATATAATAGAATTTTTTTTTTTTTTTTTTTTTTTTTAAAGCTGTATTTCATTTTAGAGTCAAGCCTAGGCCTCATGAAAGCAATTTTTGAAATGAGATGGATGCCATCTGGTGGACAAACTGAGCATTTAAAAAATTCAAAACCCATATGTAATCTGAATTTATTAGTGTGTATGTGTATAAAAGTGTGTTTGTGTGTGTATGTGGATGTGTCTGTTTTGCACTCTTGATGTTTTATAGATTCACCCCTTCACTGTTGTGTGCTTTTTTTCTGGATCGTGGCTGATTTGTAGTTTGTACGCACAAAAAAACTCTGTATTTTCACATTTTTGCCAATTTCCCATTCATTTCCTATGCGGGTCCATTTGGACCCGAAGGTCCTGAGTGTGACTATTTTTTTTACAACCACTTAGACTATTCAAATCCTGTCCCCAATTTTTTTTGGGTGTTCATATACCAAGTACCAACAAAGTCACCAAATTTCTGACCATTCCGATAAAGCTATGATTTTAAAAAAAAAATGTATTTAAATGCTTCGGGTCCATTTGGGCCGAAGGACCCCAGAGGGTTAATATTCAGAAGTGGAAAACTCTTTACCTCATTGGGTGATATGTTCCTCACTTGTTCAGGCCTCAGTTCTGTGTTAAAAATGAACAGGACAAAATGATCTGACGAAAAGTCCAATTCTAAACCAAACTGTCTAGTAGGCAAAATGTCTTGATACATAATAAAATATCTTCATCTCACAATCGTACCTCGTATCGGACCGAGAGCAGCGTCTTTAGCCAATGAGGTCAGATCACTGCCGGAGTATCCATCAGTCATCCTGAAAACACATTACAATATAATGCCCTTTTAAACACACAGTATTAATCATTAGTCCTATTTGCATACTCTATAAACTCGTCTTTTACCTGGCTAACTGACTCAGCTCTTTCTGAGATAAAGGGTTTCTGTGTTTACTGAGGAGGTTCTTGAGCAGCTCCAAACGAGTCTGAAACACACACACACACACACCGCTGATTACCACCTGTATTTATCCTTAATCAAATAGAAACTGTACAGTTAATTCAGTGTGAACTACTCAAAATATGTTGTCATACACAAACTATTTTAAGATTAATATATAAAATATTTATAAGCAACATCTGAAACTCCACCTATATCTTTATTCCCCATTGAAATATTATTGTTCAAAAGTTCGGGATCAGTAAGATTGTTTTTTAAAAGTGACAATAAAAATATTTCTTCTAATCAAATCAGATATCAGAATGATGTGTACCTCCTCTGTAGGTAAAGCCACATAAATGCGTTTAGCGAATCGCCTGTGGGAGAAACGAGTCCATTAGAGGATGCAGAGGATTATAAAGTCTTTGAAAGAAAGTGTCAGATTACAGGTCAAAGGTACCTAAGAACAGCCTCATCAAGCTCCTGAGGTCTGTTAGTGGCTCCCATTACTAACACACGCTCATCTCCTCCTGACTGCACCTACAACACACACACACACCATGAGCGTCGTCACCCGTGATCGGGAAACCACTTTCATATAAAGTACACACACTTACTCCATCAAACTCGATGAGAAACTCTGTTTTGAGTCTCCTGCTGGCGTCATGCTCGCCCTCTCTCCTCTCGCACAGCAGACTGTCGATCTCATCTGCATCCAAATCACCGACTTTTAATGACACGTTTACACAAATACACAAGTCCTGACGCAGCAATACGCCTGACTAACAGTTCTTACCGATGAAGATGATTGACGGCTGCAGTTCCCTAGCAACCGCAAACAAAGCTCGAACCAGCTTCTCACCCTCTCCCACCTGAACACGCACACAACAACATGAATGAATAAGTGTTTCTTAACCCTCATGTGGTGTTCAAAACCCTATAACACCTGTGGTCTTCCCGGGTCAAAATTTATAGGGCCTGTAAAAAATAGCTTATAAATCCCTCATTATACGATATTTTCACCCAATCTTGGATTCAATCTTTTTGTCAACTTGTTCTCTTTCAATTAGGACTGGTTTTGTATTTAATTTTCAAATGGTTTAATATTAGGAGTCATTTATCCAAGCTTATGCACCTTAGTTTTTGAGTGAAAAAAGCATTATTTTGACCCGGGGAGACCATTTTTTTTACTCAAAAAGTGAGATGCCTACTCTTAGATAAATGAAGCCCACGATTAATCAGATGCAAATGAAAATACAAAACCAGTCCTAATTGAACGAGAACAAGTTGACAAAAAGATTGAATCCAAGATTTGGTGAAAATATGGTATAATGAGTGATTTATAAGCTATTTTTTATAGGCCGGTCATTTTGACCCGGGAAGACCACAAGTGTAACAAGGTAACAAACCCCCCCTAAAAAAAAGTACGAAATTTTTCAAAAAACATTTGAGAAGTAGTTATACCCTTTGGGAACAAAGTCACTAAGTTTCAGTCCAATGCGATAACATTAGCTAGTATTTTTGGGAAAAAAGAAAATCTTCTCCGGGTCAAAATGACCCGAAGACCACATGAGGGTAGACAGAATAACACATGGCTTTAGACCGGTGTTTTTGCGCAAAAAAAGTCAAGAGATGTGTTGAACTTTTTAACTTGAGCGCCGCGATTTAAAGACGTCCGTCTAGCAGGGGTTTACAATTTACATTGAAAAAATGCATTAGTTGCATGCTAATTATTTCACATGCTAAGCTAACTTAGTAACCTTAGTTTGCCTGATGACCTTCAAGCCATATTCAGAAGAATAGCTTATGATTAGCGTGCTAAGCATAAATAGCACAGGACAACAAACACTGATCCGGTCAACTTTGGAAAGGTGTTTCTCAGTAATGATAGCACAAATTAAAACATTTCTGGTCATTTCTGAGCGGTTTGATCCAAAAATCATCTGAGCCCATTTTGAACAAAAAGATTTGGTGGAGGAATAGCAAAAAAACAGTACAATTACCAATTCTACGGTAACTATTAACTAGTTGCTTATTAGCATGCATATTACTAGGATATTGGCTCTTTATTAGCACTTATAAAGCACATATTAATGCCTTATTGAAAAAGGTGACTTGACTTGACTTATTCTGCATGACCATATTCTTCATCCCTTAATCCACCCAATACCTAAACTTAACAACTACCTTACTATTAATAAGCAGTAATTAAGAGTTTATTGAGGCAAAAGTCGTAGTTAATAGTGAGAATTGAACCCTAAAGTGGGACCAAAAAAACTGTTTTTCATAAATTTCAAAATGCTGGACAAGCAAAGCTACGAAAAATGACAAATTGGATATCATCAGAATCGGCATAAACCACAAAGACAGACCCACATTTTGGACAACATTTCCAGAAGATTCTGAGAAGAAGATTCCTTTGGTGTTTGGCCCCAAATAAACACTGCCAGTTCATAAGTCTAACTATAGACGGTCATAATGAAACATCTCACGATCACTCACATATTTGGAGGTGAGACTGGCAGCGCTGATGTTGAAAAACGTAGCATTAGATTCCTTCGCAACAGCTTTCGCCTGTGAGGAAATGGAAAGATCAATATAGTTCTATTCGCATGGTATATAAATATACATTCATCTAAAAAGAAGTCTTTTTTTGTGTGTTTTACCAGCATGGTCTTCCCATTGCCAGGGGGGCCGAAGAGCAGGAGTCCTCTGGCAGGGGCCCTGAGACCAGTAAACAGCTGTGAAGATCAGCAGAAATGTCATAAACACGTGATGCAAGTAAACTATAAATGTCACAATACCAGTTTTTCTATACAGAATACCAGTTTTGTCATGCAAG